ATGAGAAGGGATTGTCCCATGCAGTGTTGCTGCTGGTTTCATAAGCAGTCAGTAATGTGATGGCAGTTGTAAATCCAGGACTGGCGAGTTACTGTGAAGGAAGCTAATAGCAATTCTACATTCCTTAGATAGTTTGTTGCAGTTTCAACTCGGGATTTTTGGTAAGAAATGTTCCTGTTTAGCAGTCCAGAGTTGAGCATTTAGTTTGAGGTATGTTCCTGTTCCTGTCAGCTAAGGGTAGAAAAGAGTATGAGCTTGACAAGATCAATGCTCCAAAAGAAGCCACTCTAGTATTCCTGATTCTGCTGGAGTGATAAGCACTGTAGGAACTTGCATTGCAAGGGAGAACCCAGTTGAACTGCTAAGTAGATGTTTCAGAACAAAGGACGGACTCTGCCTTTCCACACACACGCGGCTGAGCTGTGGAACACTCCTCTGCAGGATGGGGCAGGTGTCAGCGTTGGAAGTGAGTTCAGGAGGAAGCAGCTGGCCCTGGTGTGCAGTACATGAAGTGAAGAGGGTTTGTTATACTCACATTAAAAACCCCGGGAGTGCTGCCTTGTCTTACTCAGAGTAGCACAGACTTACCTCAAACGAATGTTGCTCATGCTGCTTGAGCTGTTGGCCAGGGAGGTACTCTTCCGTGTAGACCTGCCCCCAGGACACCTTTGAGTGACAGGACAGGGGAACTCCCCATCCTTGTGAGCTTTCAGTGGCCATGAGGAATGTGTGAGGAAAATGTAGCAGTAAATGTCACTGTGGTGCGTGAGGCTCGCTGTGTAAATGTCAGGGGCATTTCTGTTTCCTGAGGAATGACATTTCCTCGGTGACATAGCTGTGAGCAGGGGAGAAAGCTCTCACCCCTTTGTCTGCCTGGTGCATCTCTACTGGTGGCTGCCTCGGTCAAGAACTATGAGAGTAAAGGGAAGGCTTGCCTGCTGTTCGCAGGGGAATTAAGAGTCATAGGGAAATAAAGCTGGAAAAAAGGGTTTCCGGAAGTAGGCCCAGTCACAGCTGCATCACTGTGACAGGTGTTGAGAAAAATGCTTCATGGTGGAAATTCCATCTTTACCCAATCCCTTTAGATGAATTTGTCTGGGAACTTTGATTCTTTTTGAGCCATAGGAGAGTATTTCAGATGGGATGCCAGTTACGGGAAATCATTTGTAGTGCACTTTGGTCTCTATTCATGTTGATTTTGTTTACAAATACAATTTTCTGGTGTTCATTCATGGTCATTGAACAAAATCTTGGCATAATGCTCCAGCTTACTCATATCCTGCGTTTGAAAAGGCCCGAGATTTATGGGGATGTATTTAAATGCAGTTAAAGCTCTTTTCTTACTGGGGAATTTTGCTTATAGTTTGATTTTTAAAAATTAACCATCTTAGTGTCTGATGGTCTCTATACTTCTTTTGACAGTAATCCAGTCCCTCATAGCACTGGTGAATGATCCACAGCCCGAGCACCCCCTCCGGGCTGACCTAGCTGAAGAATACTCTAAGGACCGTAAAAAATTCTGTAAGAACGCTGAAGAGTTTACAAAGAAATATGGTGAAAAGCGACCAGTGGACTAATCTGACACAACTGCTGTCAGCAACGTATGATAGAAGATCGGAGCAGTGCATTTGAGACACCCCGTAAAGCAGGACTCTATGGAAAATTGACAAGTGCCACCTTTCGGTGTGAACTTGTGGCTGTTACTAACTTTCTACAGTTTTCTTAATCAAAAGTGGGCTAGGTAACCTGTAAAGAAAGGATTAAAATTTAAGATGTTCTAGTTCTGCTTTCTTTGTTTAAAAATCACTGCTTCAATATACTTTAAAGTACGCTGTTTTCTTTTTCTTGTCAGAATTTATCAAAAATATCTTAGACTTATATTCTGCCCTTAAATTGAAAAGGTTGTGGCTGTCATTTCTTATTTTTCCTTGCAGTTCCCACTATCTTGAGTTCATTCACTGAATTTTAAACCCCCTCCTCAAAGTGATGTCTTAGGAAAAATATCCCAGTTCTGGCAGAAAATGATTGAGTGTTTGGCAGTTTCGTTTACTTTTCTTTTTAAATGTTGCACTGTGCTTTGTGGGACTTGTTGCAAGTTCCCCTGAACTTCAGTTTGTAACATAATAAACAAAAACCAACCCAACCCTACAAAGCCAATCAGAAATAATGTCTGGGTCTGATGTAAATCTGGCCAGTGTCTATTAAACGGGGAAACCCAAGTTTTTGTGTGCGTCATTGAATTAGAATGTGGCTTATGTTCTGCTTTTGGAATACTTTGGGAAAAAAATCTGTAGCAAACAAGTAGTGGAATGTGATTTCAAATTTCCTTCACTTCTATCCTTAATACCTATGCAGAGCAGCAGGAATGTGCACAGAACAACATTGCAACCAATCCAGGAGAGTGTTAGAAACTGAGGACCAAGAGGTACCAAAGTGATAAACTTTTTTTGAATTTAAAGTTGGTATTTCGGAGATGTTCATTTGGAGTTAAAGAACTAAACCTGACAGCACTGCTGTCATCTCTGAACGTTTTCCCTCAGAATGCGTAAGAAACACCTGTGTTTATAGGATGGCACTTGTGCCCCTTCCCAGGCCCTCTGCTGCCGGCACTGGAGCAAGGACAGGGCTGAGTAATAATGTGTGAATGTGCTTTGCTGCTGCTGCTCCTGTGTTTAAACACACTGGTTGGGTGATTCAGTGAGTGTTCAAGTGTCATTCTGGCATTGTGGCTTAATCAGGCAGAGCTGTTTGCCAGTTGCTCTGGGGCACTCCTACGCATGCTGAAGGAAGCCCTTTCTGAGCATCCTTGGCTGTGTCCCTGCTGCTTGTCACCTGCCTTCTCTCCTCAGTTCAGTGTGATTTGTAGCTCCATGGTCAAACTGCCACACAGTCAAACTGCCGTGTCCCCCCTACTCTCCAGCTGGGGTCTGTTACTGAGCAAACAAATTATCTCCAGAAATCCGTCTGGGAGCACATATCATTTTGATGTGCAGGAAGCTGAGTTAGAAAATCCCTGACACCTAGGTGGTTGCCTGTACTCTCAAATTCAGTTTTAATACAGCCTCTTCCTTTGCAACCTTTCAGAACTAGTGTGTCAAGCAGTAAGTCTCTCTTGGTTTTAATGTCTTGTGTATTTGCTATTCCCTCATTCATCCCTCTCATCTGGCTTTCATTTCTGATTTAGTGTAAACAATGACAGCCCAGTACCTCACCTCTGTTGAAAGTAATTTTTTTTTATAAGTTAGGGAGCTAAGAAATGTTATGTTTAAGTGTTCTTAGACAGATTCTTTGGCAGGTAAATAAAGTTAAACCACATTCACCTTATTTACAGAAACTTGCATTTCCTAAGTGTTTTCAGGCTTGTGAGAGCACTATTACCAGATTTTCACAGCTTTGTGTCTTCATTTGCAGAAAGTTGGTACCGATTCTGTTTCATTCACGCTCACTTGGATTCATAATAAAATAATGCCAAATTATCTGTCAAACTGAAGTGTGTAACTTCCACATCACCTGAGTCACTGTACCTTTGATCATGTCTGTTGGCATGGAAACGTACCATTCTCTAAATTTTATTTGAAACAAAACTGTAGCATTAGTTTGCTGCCCTCATTGCTACTCAGTAGTTACTCTGTGGTTGTAAAGCCTCTCAGGTCAAAGACTGCGTCTGTCTGCGTTGCTGTGACTCGGATGCCGTTGGAAGGGAAGGGCTGTGTGATCCAAGGAACTCGAGTCATGCAGTGCTGCACCAGCCATTCCAATTCCAGCTGCAGAGGTCACATGGAAGACAGATCCTGCTATCAGTTCTCTTGGTGTGTTCTCCATAGTCCAATTGCTAAACTGTGAGATGTGTAACCCAAGTGCTGATGCTGTCTGGGGGCAGCCTCTGAACAAAGGGATCCGACACTGTTGTGTGGCTGAAGTCTGAGGAGAAGAAATCCAAGTGTGAAGTCCTATGTTAACTCAGGAAATCCAGCTCTTGTTCTCTCTGGTTCCCTAAGCCATGCTGAATTCTAAACGTGCAGTTGAACATCCACAATAAAAGCAGCGCACTGGTGAAACTACACCCAGGAGTACTGGTATAGGCTTCCTGCAAGTCCATTCTGCTACCCTAATAAAAATTGCTCTCAAAGGCTTTGTGGCATGGTTTTATTTTCAGAGAGGGGGTTAACTGGAATTGTAGCATCATTTGTAATTTGGACTTGAGTTGCCTTTAAAGCTTTCATAGAACCACTAAGAAATTTCTTTATCACCCTACATGCAATTGAAAGGTTCCCTATTTAGAAGTCTTTTAGTATTCTTTATTCATTTCTCCAATTAAATGAAAATTTGGGGTTTAATGCTGTTTGTTTACATTTTGTGTTTGCAGTACAGTGCTCTGGTACTGCTGCTGTCAGGTTCTAGTGCTCAGCTGCCAGGAAATGCCTCCAAAAATCAACAGGTGTGTAACGTCCAGTTGGTTGTGATCAGGGCAAATTCAGCGGTTAGAACATGAAGCAATTTAAACGTTAAAAATAAGGCTTAAAAATATCCATGAAAACACGATGACATTCCATGACCTGCTGAACTCTGTCCCGTCACGGCGGTTGCAGTGATCCCGGTTGGGCGCTGGGCGGCGCTGGCGGGTGGGGCTGCTCGGAGCGCGGGTTTGTCCCCACTGGGAGAACCTTTGGGAGAACGTCATCCCAAAAGGTAACAACTGCCCTGGTCAGACCCAGCCGGGAGTGCTTTTAAAAACAAACTTGTCATATATCTAATTAATTCTCTGACAATGATTTAGGAAAGAATCTGGAAAAATATTCTCTACAGTATCCTTGTTTTTCCTATTTGTACAGGACAAAAATGTCCTCAGACGTGTTACAGGGAAGATCAGATAGTTCCCATTAAGGATAGAAAGACAATGGAAACCCTTCTGGAGCTCCCAGGCAGCCACAGGGGAAGCAGAAAGGTGGCTGGGTTTAGTTCACTCACCAGCTGTAACCAAACCCAAAAGCCTCCTGAAGCACTGCAATAGAAAAGGCCTGAGTTTATTTTTCATTTAAAAGAATGACAATCATATTGACATTTTTAATATTAAAAAACATAGTTAGCAAAACCGATTACATTAAATCACTTATGTGCAGAAAATGAGCATAAACAGTCTAAAATAATTTCTCCCCATGTGAAAGTTCTATAGGAGTGACAGGGCTGCAGTTAAGAGCGTGAAGCATTGCTGGGGCTTATTGGAGTTCAAATGCTTTGGTGGGAGGAATAAAAGGGACAGATACAGGGACCTTGTTCCCTTGCAGACCTGCTTGTAGCTGGCACAGGGCTGTCCCTGTGTTTGTCCTGAGGGGCAGTGGGTGGGACAGGATCAGTTGCTGCTGCTCTTGTACACAGCAGTTACTGAAATAGCAGATGGGTCAACAGTTGCTGTTCTTGCAAAGTCATCCAAAAAATAAGAAAGCCCCTCTGAAAGGGCTGTGGCCAATGTTACTTTCCAATAGGAGCTTAATGCTACGAGGCAACATAAATAGGCAGGGACAAAATTACTGCTGGCTGAGGTGGCTCCTGGAAGGGGCTGCAGATCCCACTGTGCCACATGTATTATCTGACTGCTCTGAGCAGAGGAATACTCTGAAGGTGACATGCCCTGCACCTCTCCCCATCTACGAGCAGGGATAAGTGGAGGGGCAGGGACCATGACAGTGCTTTGGGAAAACCAAATGCTGAAGGTTTCCAGGCCTCCCATGACCTACACCAAGCGGCTGCTCCAAAGCAGCACCTGCTCCTCCAGAATGTTTATTTTTTTTGCCATTAAATCCAAAAAGAGAAATGATGGTACCTATGGTACCTATGGACCATTAAGTCTAAAAAGAGAAATGATGGTGCAAAGCGTCTCACAACAGAGCACACCTCTGTGCTGCTCCTTTGTTGACAGGAGCTGAGCCCTGGGAGGCAGCTGGGCCTTGGTCGCTGTCCTGCACTGCGTTGGGGTGTCATAGAAGGGGTATGTCACATTCAGAGCAGATGCTGTGGCCTAAAAACTGGCAGTCGTGGCTCTGGGGCACTGCCTGGAGCTGCTCACAGGGTAATGCTCTTCCATTCCCAGGCTGTTGTCAGCTCCTGTCAGCTGTGCCAGGGAGTGTGACACTGGTAACAGTGGTCTGGCTTGTCTGGACACCAGCAACTACCTGGCTTCAGAGGATGGATTGATGGATGGATGGATGGGTGGGTGGGTGGGTGGATGTCTGCTCATTTATTTAAAGATCTTTGAATGAACACAGCTGAATGTTCCTGCTTTTGTAATGGCTCTGCAGCTCCGGCTTAATTAACGTCTGGAGTTCATGGAGGCGCTCCCAGGACTGGGAGAAATCATCTGGTCCTTCCCCACAGCCACCAACGGGTGGGACACTGGGGTACCCCGGATGCACCATCAGTTCAATGGTCACTGTCCTGCTCTGCAGTGCTGGGTGTGCAGACGAGGGCGCCCTGGATGTGACCTCCACGATGGCAGAGTTGATGGCACTCCAGATGCTGCTCACAGACATGTTCTTGCCCATGGTGCTCAGGCCTATATAAATGTCAGGCCACCTGGAGCCAGGGGAGAGAGTACTGATATTAATGCTAACAAGGTAGGTAGAGAACTGTGTTATGTCCAGTGGATTATGAATCAAAATTTACCTACAATGTAAGACCAAAAAGGGGGAAGGGGATTTTAAAACTTTTAACTATAAGCAAAAGTGAAAACAGAACCTCATGCCAGTTATGCTTTCTCTTTCCTTATTGAAACGAGGATCCTATTTCCAGCAGCAGTTCTGCAGTGACAGGAACTCCCCAGCATCAGCAGTGCTGCTGAGACTACTGACATACACTGTGTCACAGCACAGGGGTTGTTTGGTATCTGTGAGCTTACAGGTGCATTTTGTTGGCCGAAAAGGGAAGAGCAGAGCTAAACTCAGAAATGCCACACTATCAAAATCTTACACCTGAATAATAACCCTCAGGTAAGTAGAAACAAAAGTGACTGAAATAAAATGGAAACCACTCAGCTAAAGAAGCGTTCTGCCAGAATGTATCAAAGAGCCATAATAACTGGACAAAATGCTACTACTAGAGGACAGCTACAGGCTGGTTCTTAGTAGCTTCGACACAGATCTTTTTTCAAGTCTGGCTGCAAACACTGGCCCTAGTGCAGCCTGAACAAGTCCAAGGCAGGTGAGCCAAGTACATGTGAGGGCAGAATGAGAACGTTTTTGGAAGAAACCAAGGCTGCAGTTTTTACCTGCATGATCAAAGAACAGCCCAGCTGAACGCTGGGCTCTTCTTGAAAAGAGTCTGCAGGACTTAGCAGAAGAATTTGAAGTGTGAATATAGTACCCTTGCCGACACCTCGCTGCTGTGCAATGAGCAGAGCCTTGTGCTCTCTGGCATCACAAGCCGGCTCCAGGGGCTCAGCGCGGTCCTTCTGCACAGGTGCTGAAGTCGAGTTGCAGCACTGAGTTCCCCGAGCTTTCGGCCGCCTGTGTTCTTTGTGTTTCCCTGGGTTTCCCCGTGTTCATGTTTTGGTAAGAGCTCACCCCTTCTTGCCTGCCCCACCGGGAGTGGCCGGAGCAGGGTGGATACAAACACGCAGGTCCTCGGGTGGCCCCGCCAGTTCCCCTGTCCCCCAGGCGGCCCCTGAGCGTGCAAGGTTTCCACTGCGCTGTCCTGGTGTGCACCTGCCTGAAAGGTGCGTTACTCTCCTGCTGAACTGCCCTGTGAGTTGTTGTGCCCTTCCTTCCCTTAGAAACAGGCTGGAGCACGGCCCACGGGCTCTGGAGGGATGGGGCAGGGTGAAATGCCAGCCTGATGCTGCTGTTCAGGACAACTAATACCAAAAAAATTAACTAAAAAAATAACTTTTTCAGTGGACTGAGAAAGTAACAAAATCTACCCCAAAGGACAGGTGACTGCAAGGGTATCAAGTGAAATGTCTTTAATCCATAAGGCACTGTTTAAGCTTATAAGAAAAATATGTTACTGGGGGAAGGGCTGAGCTTTTCGGACTTGGCCCCTGAGGTGCAGGACAGACAAGGCTGTTTGCTTAGAGCAGTGACTGCTGGCTGTGGCACTGCGAGCTCTGAGCTTCTTGCTTCCCCTTAACAACAAACACTTGTTTCTAATTAGTCTCTTTCCTCCTACTTAAAACCCTTTCTTCACTCTGCCAGGTAGATGAAAAGTTATTTCTTGAAACCTTTCCCTAGATCATACTTTTAGTATTCCAGTGTTGATGCAGCATTTCTCTTGCCACCCCAGATGCCAGGCTAATGCAGCTTCACTAGGAAGGCTGAGAAACATACCCTGAAAAGAACATTCCCTTTCAAGTGAGGAAGTGAGTCATCTCTGTTCAAAGAGAACTTCCCAAGCCCTAGTGCCCCTGACACTTTTGTACTCCTCCTGAATCTCTCTGTAAGCCCAGAAAAGGAAAGAGAAAGGCGGTGTTCCATTTTTGAAAGATACTATCAGGAACTGATAAGATCTTAAAGGTTTACTGCAAAAAGGATGGGTAATGCCTGTCTTACCTTATTCCATGCTTTGTAAACACATCCACTGTGTTAAAAGAATCTTCTTCTACTCCCAGATAAAAGTCCATCAGGGATGGTGGAATCCAGTCACAGTTATGAAGGCCTGGCTCTACTGGGACACGAGTGTACTTAATCCCATATTCCTCTAACACCTCTGCAAACACATGCCTGACCTCTGCAAATATAACCAGGGACAGTATAGTCAGGAATTGGGTAACCAGCTCATCATCTCCCCTGTGAGATGTTAGCACAGAGGCTTCTTTCCTTCCCATGTTCAAGAAAATAAAATCACATTTGGTTTATCTTCTGCTGAAATGGTTTTCTTCATCTGGATAGGGGTCACCTTCTATGCTGGAAATATTTCTCCCTCACCATCTGCTGTAGGTGCCTTGTAGGTCTTCCCTTCAGCACTGAGCATTTAGTCCAGCCCCCCCTTCTAAGTGAGTGACTCTGGTCTTAAGAGTGCACCAGAGGTGACTGCGTTGTCAGGAATGAGTTCTTCATCAAGTCCCTGCAAGTCAGAGCAATGTTATCCAGAGGCAGTTTAGAACTGGAGTGGGGAAACCTGGATTCTTTTTTTACTCAGTTTTCTGTACCACAGTGACCTTATTTTCAAAACGAGGACAAAAGGTACTCGGTCATCTCTTAAACATGCTGGGACCTGTGGGCAGGGACTGGGATGGAACTAACTGACAGGATGGAGCTCTTGTAGCACCTGAAGAGTCACCAGCTTTTGCAAACTGTAGAGCAAGTGTCTTATTGCTCAAACAGGGAGCTGTGGTAGGGGAGGCCCCTCTTTAGTGACTCTCTGACTCCCTCACCTGCTTGGCACTGGGAAGAGGAAGATTTCCTTCTCACCTGGGAGGACGTGGACATGCTGGTGCCCATCCATGTGAGGAGGTAGGTGACCTGTCAGCTCATGGAACAGCTCCACCTGGGCCTTTAGCTCCTGCTTCACCTGTGCCGCAGAGAAGGGTCAGAGCAAGACCTGTCAGGAGGCTCAGAGCAGGAGAGTGGAGGGACTGCTGGGGACATCACTGGCCAGGAGTCAGGACCTGGCCCTGGGAGGCACCAAGTGCTGTGATTATAAATGGATCAAATGGATGTGCAGCTCTGCTGGGTTGCCCAGAGCCTTCCCCCAGGCATGGGGCTCTTTGTGGTACTGGTCATAAGGATGGTGCTGATACTGGGATTTTCTAAAATACATAGAGCATTTGAATACCCATTTCCCTTTAAAATGATTGAGGAAATGGGTGCTCATATCCCATAGGCAGTTTTGATCACCTGAACACATTTGTTAGTGCTCACAGGGCAAAACCAGCCATCTCCCTAGAGAACAAAAGCCTGTTACAAGCAGATCAAAAGCCTAGTGCCTATTTAGGACTTCTCTGTCATTTGCCCTTTAGTGATCTCTAGTTTTTTTGTAAATACCAGTTCCAGTGCCTCTTCTGCCCCCTCAGATAAGTAGTTAACAGGACATTAGCGTATGCAGGCACTGAAATGGGGAGGAATGACTTCTAAAAGGCTGCAGAGCCTCTGGCAGAAGGAGGCCCAGGTCCTGGAAAGCCATCTCCAGCTGCACAGGCAGTACAGTCATCTCTAAGCTTACTCACAGCTGGGATCTGGGAAATTTCTTCAGCTGTTATGTGTTGGGATAAATGCAGGCTGATCTTTACCAGGAAAGCAAGTTGCAGGGTTGTATATGGTCTTCTCCTACCTCTGACATGTTCAGGAGACCTCTTGATAGAGCTGTTCTGAATCCCATTTTTCCATGGAAGAATCCATCTTGGTTGAGCAGAGAAGAGTTTGTTTTGAGCACCTCACACACAGGGGAGCCCTCAGAAAGGTTGGCATGAAGGCCTATTGGGATGCTGTACCTGTAACAAGAATGAAATATCTGCTAAGCTTTGCACCTCCCTTACTGTGGCCAAAGGAAGGAGATTTCAGTGAAAGAACTAGACTGATCTCAAAAGTGTTGATGTACTCACTGGAGCACATCTTTGTATTTCTGCTCTGCTAGAAAGAAAAGCACAGTGACCCTAACCAAAGCAGAATATCTCCAGATAACCACCCTGTGCAGTCTGCCAGGGGCCAGTCCGTGAGACTTCCCAACTCTGCTCCCACCCTGGCTCACATCATGAGGTACTCTGGGCTAAATGCTGTAACTACACTTAGTAACTGCAGTTACCAGCGATCAACAGAAAAATCTGGACCTTGCATCCTTTTCTAAAACACTTCATTAGCTGTTGCCAGGTATCCCATTGAGTTGTTCACCATATTAAAGATGGTACATTTGAGACATCTGAGTTTTACTTGACAACTTCTAAAGCTGCCCTTAAGTAGAATCCAGTGCCCAAGGCAGCTGTTATGGCAACAGCACAGGCTACAAGTGTAAATACTGTCTGAGTTTAAGAGTTTCCTGGTCCAAGGGGCTGCAGCTGGAATTGCCTGCAGTGTCATGGTTCCTATGTACTGGTGCAGATGATCACTCACCGAGTGACAAGGCTGAGCAGTATAGAGCAACACCTCTCTGGCACAGCCAAAGGAATAGTGCAGGGGGCTCATAGTGAAGTGTAGAACCTTGCTAAGGAAGCACAAGGGTACAACGGATTAACTAGTTGCACTCTAACAATTTTTAAAAAAATGAAACTCTGGAGCTGGCGTAGCTGGAGAGCCCCTCTGAGCCACAGGGCTTAGGGGAGTGTTGGTGTTTCCTTCTTGGTCTGTGCTGTGGATTCCCCTGCAGTGAAAACAGGACTTGTGAGTGCTCAGATTTGTGCTGGGTCTCATTAGCATTTCTGCAAATCCTCAGAATCAGTAGCCAAAATGACGCTTTGAAACTTTTTCCAAGACAACCCCTGGCCTCCGGCTGACCCAGTAAGTGCATGACAGAATTGCAATGTTCCACCTGTGCTGCCCAGGCTGAGTCATGGTGCAGAGTGAATTTCAAGGCAACAAGTCTGTGATGCTTTAAATCGTTCTTGGAACTTCCGCATGAGGCTTCTAAAACTGAGATTGGTCTGTCCCTGGTACAGCCCTTGTACCACAGGGAGGAAAAAAAACCAATCTCCGTTTAGGCAAAGTGTGCAAAAACCAGATCTTCCCCTTCTGTCTGCTGCCCTGAAGCTGACTGGTAAAACAGCAAGTTACTGGAGACAGGACTGTGGATGGATTGGTCCAAGTCAGAGTAATTTAGCTCCTTCAGGTCCTAAAGCTTTGACCCTCACAGGGCAGAAAGTCTCTTTCCTGGCTCCTCCATGTCTCGTGCTCCAAGTAGATGGTGCAGTTAGTTGCTAGATACTACTTCTCAAAGACATAAATGTTAAGAGTCAAGTTATATGCTCGGATCTTTGGAACAAAATGAGTCCATGTCTTTCCAGTCCACTGTCTGATTAAGGAGTTTGAATGTTTGTTTAATGGAGCAAAAGAGCTTATGGGGAGAAGGATCTCCGCTGTTTTTTCTGACCTAGTGATTTCTGTGCAGCAGGGCCTGATTGTTTTGTTGATGATAAATATTCCTCTGGTGTTCACACCTGAGGCCTGAACACACGACACATGCACAGTAACTCCATAGAAGTGGAAGGTGCTGTCACTGCAAGTGTGGCCCTTGGGCAGGCAGCTGGGCAGGAGGCAGCTACAGAACGGGTGCTGTGAGAGGAGGGCTTCCCCTCCATCCTGTGACCTGCTGGGCACCCTGCATGAGCCCAAAGGCAGAGGGAGATCCTGTGGTTTTGTTTTGGCTTTTTTCAGAAGTCCACCCCAGATTCTTTTTCACATCTTTGGGAAGCTGCCCAGCATCAGCTGGAGCATTATCTGTACCAGAGTCACTGCTGTTTGCAAGAAAAAAGGATTCATGTGTTACCATGAATCAGCAGATGGAATTTTTTTGTTGAGTTATTTCCAGGAGAAGGCAAGACCCTCCAACAGGTGTGGGACAATGAGAAGCCAAGTGCTGCACTGGGGAACATGAGAGCTGCTCCTTGCCTGAGCCAAACTCAGCCCCAGAGCTGGGGAATGTGTGGAATGTGGAAGTGCAGAGAGAGCTGGCCTTGTCCTGGCTGTAAGGGGAGACCCTGACTGTAACATTAGAGCACGTTTCAGAGCTTTGGCCAACACCAGCTGAATATCTTAATAGTTTTCTCATGGAGTTAGTCCTGGCTGGTTAGACAGACTGCCCAGGCTGAGGCATCTAAAGAGGAATTACTCGTGTTTAATGGCTCTGGGATACAGGGACTGAAACCAAAACTCAAAAAGCAGCACGTGAGAAACTTGATCAGAAATATCACTCTGTGGGAGATGCACGGAAGCAGGAGTGCTGGGAAGGCTGTGAGGTTATGGGAAGGAGGACAATGCAATCAGTACAGCAGAGTTCTGCTGCAAGCCAGCTCTTCTCCCCACAGACTGCTATACACAAGGGACTAACTCTGCTGAGCACCTCTCACTACTAAAATGCAGATCCTGCAACCCAAGGGCAATGCCAAGGCAGGCTGCATTGTAAAAAAGGAAAGGAGAAAAGTCAGGTAGTGGGAATATCCTGAAAGGGCCCCTTTTTCAGAGTGGTAGATGATCGTTTCTGCTACCCAAACATACTTTATAGTTGCCCATATCTTTTCAAAGGCTGTAAAATATCTGTTATTTTACTGGCTGAAATACTGAGACCTGCAGCTCAAGTAGCTTATATAGCATGTGATGCTGCCCTGGTAACAGAGCTCAGCTGTTGTGCCCAAGCCCTTTCCGAGGGGGGATAGAGGGGATAGGGTGAGCCCTGCCGGTCACTGCTGGGCAGGTCTAACTGCTAATTGCTCACGTAAGATCCAAAATAAAAGGGTTGGCATTGAACTTCAGGCAGTAGTTTAGTTTCTGCAATGAAAACACTGCAGTAACAGCTATCATTGCCAAAGCAAAATGATGCTGAGGAATCTGCTTGGTGCCTCTAAGCTCTTCTTGGTGGTTGTTTTAAGCAGCAGCAACCCTTCCACAACCTGTTTGGAGAAGCCCATGTCCATGTGTTTTCAAGTCCATCCCAATGCTCTGGAGAATGCACAGATGTGAAGCTGGATTTAGCACGGGGGTTCAGTTCACTCCTGATAAAGCCAAAGGACAGTGTCTAGCAGTGTGTGCTCCTACAGCATGAGCAGCATTAGACTGGGCTGCCTGGGAGCTTGCTGAGAAGAGGTTCAGGGCAGTAGCTTCTGCAGCCACTGAGGTTATTCTGCTAGTGATTTATTTGCACCCAAATTTGGCTGTTAAACCAGCCTGGCTCTGTGGTTCTCTGCTCAACATCTCTTGTAGAGGTGGAGAAAAAAAGAGGGGGTTGTGGGAAGAAGGAAATACCCTCACAACAAGTGCTACAAGGGGCAAGAAGGAATTTACCCTGGAAAGATTTCTGAGTCAGCAAGCTCAGTCCAGTAATCAGACAGAGGAAATACAATCAGCTAAACTGCTTCCTTTTCAAGTAGTTGCTTGTTTTGCCACACGGGTGCTCTGAACAAAGTCTCTGCTGAGGCAAAGTGCTCTGTGAAGCTGCAATCCCTGTTCATTCACATCCTTAGCAGTAAAGGCACCCTGGAGATGGTTACCACCCTGAGTCACTCTTTTAAAGTGCCCACCAGCTTTGCACATTTCTGAGCTTGGTGGACGAGTAACAGTGTCCTGGGTTCTGCCTGGCCATGGCAGAGGACTCTGTGCAGTCCCTGTGTTCCTGGGAGCAGTTGCAGTGGCTGAGGGAATTACGTGATTCACCAAGAACAGTCCCAACTGAGTTGCTGAATGCTGCAGGCTCTGGTATAACAACAGCACTTACCTTTTCCTTGATGTGTAAACAGCTCCCACCTTCAACATCCTGTTTGTGCCATCCAGGAAATTACTGTTCATCAGGTTTCAGCCCAAGGGTGACACAAGTTAGATGTACCTAGACACCCTGCTTCAGTAAACATCCACGTCTGAAGCCAGACAAAGCAAGTCTGTGCTTTGTGCAAAAACATGCAAGTCTTAGTTTCTCCATGTTGGCATTTGCATACTTCCTCCCCCCCACACTTTCATCATTCAGCAAACTGTAAGATTTGTCTTTCCTCAAATAGCATCTTTTCTTGCTCTAATACCGCTAAAGCCTTATTTCTGCTGCAAGAAATGCTCCAAAGCCTCTGCAGTGTTAAGAACTGGTGCTGTAACATAGCTTAGGGACCTGAGTTTCTGTTGTAATTACATCTTTGTATGAAGTGAAGCTCCTGTGTCTATAACCTTACATCAGCAAAAAGTGCTGTTGCCAGTAAAGTCACTATGATCTGGAATTACAGTTTAAGACCTTGGATTGGGCTCCACCCCTATCCAAACAGTTCAGCAATGGTGCTGTCTGCTGTGTGATTAACAGTCACATAAAAGGGTGATGAGAAAGCATGAGAGATTTCTAGATTAGTCAGATGTTAACTGGGAGTGTCAGAATTAAGTCACAATTTACACACACATTTTGCAATTAGTGTTGATGGGAAAGGAAGTGAAAACATAAAGAGCAATTAAATGTGGTTTGTTAAGATTCTTTTGTTAAATGTAGCCAGATGTTGTAGGGGCTTCAGCTTTTGTGCAGCTGATGTTCAGCATTTAGACTGTGAAAAAACACCCAGGATATGGCAGCAAACTATCTTTCTATCTCTGCCTCTTTCTATCTTTGTATTTCCAATGAAAAATGAAGGGATTTATTCATTTCAGGTTACAAAATAACCCTTCCAATTTCAGGGAAAGGCTCTGGAATAATCACCAAGAAGACTGGCTAACTTCAAGATAGGGCTTGCTAAGTAGAAAACTGAGATTATATTATATGGATAACGAGGAAGTCACAGTCAGTCAATGCCACACAAAGAGAAAAGTTTTGAGTTACTGAAAAAAACTTTAACCCATAATGGTAGCCTGTTCTCCCACCTGCTGTTCCGGTTTTGTTTTTCTCTGGCAGTTGCTATCAGTAGGTTTGTCGTTTGGTGATGGATCAGCCCTCTGCTGAAACTTCTCTGTTGTCTGAAGCAAGTGGGTCCCTTCTTTTAGCCCAGTTGTGACACTGAATGAGAAAAGCCCAAGATCCTGAGTCTGGATGTTAGGGAAGGTGTATTTTTTAGTTCTTGGTTCTGCTGCAGGTTCTGCAGTTAGTTTGTGTTAGAGCTGGTACTAAGATCTGCTGATTATCATCACATTTCTGCCAAGGCTTCTATTTAAAACTCAGGGCAACAGATGGTATAGCCAGAAACCTACAGGATTACCATGAAAATGAAAGCTAGAACTAAATTTCAGAGGAACCATGTTCCTTTCTGAAGGATGCTGAGTTCTAACTTTGCAGGGCAGCACGAGGTGCTTAGGGCGGAAAAGTTGTCTTGCTACTAATTAGCTTTGCCTGTGTCCAATTTCCTGAAAACAAGGGGAGGAAAGAGAGCTCAAGACTTGCAGTGACAAGCCACCATGTCACAGACAGTTAATCAAGAACCACCCAGATGATTTTCACAAGCCAAAGAAGCAGTCCATCACTCTGACAATCCTGCACACGTGCACCACGTCACGTTAGCACTCTGGTGCAAAAGACCAAATTCCACAGCACTGGAACAGGCCCCAGGAAAGAACAAGCTATTTCCTTCAAGCCTCTTCTCTCAGCTGGTGATAGATCCACTCTTCCTGCTTGCACCACTGATCAAGGCTGAATAGGGGAAGATAAACTTGGGGAGAAAAAAAAACAGGCAGGCTTTCATCCCTTAAAACACAAAGCCTCAATATTCACAGTAGTATGCGAAATGACACCAAGCAGGGGGAAGAGGGAATAAGAATGGCAGGACAGTCAAGCAATTGATGCTTTTTGATTTTTGCACCACAAGATGAGGAGGATTCAATGACATTTCTAGTAAGTCAGACCTATTTGGCATTCGTGTACATCAGCCTTTGCAACAGAAGAACAAATATCTCAGGGGTGACACAGGAGTTCATTTACACACACAGGTGCCAAGTAAGCAGCAGTTGAGGCTGGGCTTGCATTAGAACATGAGGAACCCTTTTCCCCACACCTGCAAATGCTCCCCCCATGCCTGGCAGCTACAGAGAGTTACACAAATGAGGAACTGTAGAACCTGGGCTGTTGATCTTTAGTGTTGGCAGATGTTCCCAAAGTACCCCTGCTTATATGTTCAGAAATAGATTTAAATCCATTTTATTCACATCCACAATTCAAAATTACCCCCACCCCCAAAGAAGAAAATGAAATTGTAGCAGCAGGCTGCAGCTTCTGCTTTCACCTGCTCTCCAGCCTGGCTTTTCACACCCAAATCTGCTGTCAGCACAAGTGTCATGACCTGGATTCAAAGATGCTTTTTAAATCTCTGATTACATGGCCTACTTTCCGGCAATGGAAACGAGGCCAGGTGGATGCTATTTTAAAAGCCTTCTAAAGACCATGGCTAAAATAGCTGACAACATTACTGGACCATTGGGTCTTAAAGGGTTTCACAGGGCATCTGAGAGAAGTGCTGGTCTTATCTCTCGTATTTCATTTGTTTCATTTACTAACAGGACTTTAGGAATCCTAACAGTGTGGTGCCCCTCCCCTTATCATCCCCAGGCAATTCCTCTCTCAATGTTTGTGTGGAATCTCCAGCCTTTTTAACAGACTAGTCTATCACTAACACCCCACCCTGCCTTTCCTCTATCATCCTACACTGAAGAAGCTACAAGCAATATCCAAGTACCCCTAAAACCACAGCAAATTGAGGAGAGATGCTGAAGGAGAACAATGACAGCAGGACTCTCATGGAACTGTCCCCTGCAGCAGCTACATTTGAAGCATAAGTTCTCGGTTTGTTTAGTACCAGTACAACTCCTTTCCTTAAATTGTTTCTCAATCCCGTTGCTCTCTCCTTCAGGACATATTCCTGTTTCCAAGTGCTTGCCCACACCAGTGCTGAAGCATTAGCTGGGTTTTACCTCCTAAATACAAGTAATGCTTCCTATTAAAAGATTTCCTGGACTAGTCCACGAGACTGCCACGGAGCATTTGATCTGCTGCAGAGCTAACTCTGCCAGCAACCTCTGAAGCTGGCAAAGAAGTAGGTGTAAGGTATCATCCCTCTCTGTATGCAGTTTTAACAAATGTATTTATCAAATCTAGAATTAATAGAAATATTTATGTGCTTTTTAAAAAGGTTTCTGGGGTGGGGAAAAAAATCAAGTTTTCCACTACCCAGGTCTATAACTAAGCCCTTGCAGAATCACACCTTTCCCTGATTCTGCAATGAGCCCAGATGACCTTGTGTTCATCCTGGCTGAAATGGATCAAATTAAATGAGATTTAATGATCTGTGCTTTTATGCTCTAATAGTTTTAGGGGTAGCAGATTGGGCTGAGTGTATAATGTGCACTTTCTTTCTGATGATGCATCTTTTAGAAGTGTGGAAAGAGAAAGTCTAGCAAATCCAAATTCTACTAGTCAAATTGTATAAGTGGCTTCCTGACCTGAGGGGGAAAAAAGGTGTGGTGGCTAATACCAGAGAAAGACCATTATGGGTATGGTTGCAGGTCACTGATTTTACTATGAAGAGTCTTAGTAAATGTGCCTGAATCCAGTTTTCTTATACCAGCCTGAGCTATGACACAGTATTTATTCTGGGGCCTCAAAATGTTAAATTTTCCAGGCTTGGCTTTCCGTGGAGTTTGTGGAGGCTGTTCCCGAGGGAGCTAAAGAAAGTAGCTTACCTCCTTGCCAGCTTCGCTGCATCTGCTGCAGCGCTTCCGTTGACTAGAAGGGACACGTTAGATATCGCACCGGCCAGGAAACAGTCCACGATGCCTTGGTTTCTCCGAGGACAATAGCCAAAGTCATCTCCAGTTACTATTAGCTTCACCTGAAGCATCCTTAGATGTCATCCCTAGCAAAAAAGGTAAAGGAGATTAAATCGGAACACTCGGCAGTCTGCAGATCACAGGCAAACAGGAAAAGACAAGCTCACCGGGGTCGAACTCGATGGTGACTCAGCCCCTGACTAACTCCTCCTGCTCCACCTCATCCCGCCGCTGGCTCGCCGCGCAGGGGCCGGATCTGCGTGTGGCCGCCGGGCTCACACCAGCCCTGCCCTCGCCTGAGGAAGGAAAGCCTTGCCTGCACTTTGTACCGCTGAGGACGGGGAGCGGGCGAGAGGTCAGGGACTCGGTGGAATGATTTTATCGACCGAGGGCGCGTCAGGGGTTCAAATTCTGTTCCTCGGGCACACCCCCGCCCGCGGTGCGCAGTGAAATGGCCACGGGTGCGGATCACCTGAGGCCACCCCGCAGCCGTGACGTCCTCGCCGCTACCGATGCCCGCCTGCGGGCCGTATCCCCGGAGAGCAGAGCGGCCTCCGGCGGCCCAGGCTCTCCCTCCCACAACGGCAGGGGCACCGAGGTCCGCCGGCCCCCTCCCGCCCCCGGGGCGGCGCGTACCTCCGCTGCAGCCCGGTCCCGGTCCCAGGGCCGCCGCCAGCTGTGCCCGCCCGCCCCGCCGCGCATCCCCGCGGCAGCCCCGGCCCGGAGCTCCCCCGCGGAGAGGCGAGAGCAGGGCGGCCCCGCCGCAGCGCCGGCGCCTCCGAGCGCGCCGAGCACCGGGATCCGCCCTGCTGGCGGCCTCTGGCGGCGGCGGCACGGCACGGCACGGCACGGCACGGCACGGCACGGCACGGCTGCAGTCGGGCTGCCGCAGGACCTGTGCCGGGGTGCTCTGGCGCAGGGCCCGGGGTTGGCCCCGTGCCGCTCTCTGTGCCGCCGGCTCTCTTGGCAGCGCAGGGATCGGACGTCTCTCCCCACAGAATGCGTCAGGTTGGAAGGGACCAGAGTGGGTCATCTGGTCCAACCTCCCCACTTAAGCAGGGTCATCCCAGAGCACATGGCATACGATTGCATCCAGATGGTTCTTGAGTATCTCCAGAGAGGAAGACTTCACACCCTCTCAGGCCAACCTGTTCCAGTGTGTGATCATTCACACAATAAAGAAGTTCTTCCTCGTATTCAGGTGGAACTTCCTGTGCATCAGTTTCTGCCCTTTGCCTCATCCTACTGACTGGCACCACTGAGCAGAGCCTGGTTCCATCTTTTTGGCATCCTCCGTTAGATACTCACACACATTGATGAGGACCCCTCTCAGTTGTCTGTTCTTGAGTCTGAACAGGCCCAACTATCTCAGCCTTTCCTTGTAAGAGAACTATTTCAATCCCTTATCATCTTTGTTGCCCTCCACTGGCCCCCTCCAGAAGCTCCATGTCTCTCTTGTACAAGACACTTCTGAGGTGGGACCTGCCTGGAGCTGCGGGTGGGATAAGCAATTCAGTTTGTGCTCTGTGGTGGCTTCAGTGCAAAATTGATCATCCCAACGAGGCCATGAATATGTAATCCTGCCATCCATGACTCTCACAGTAGCCACTTGCTTGTTTTTCCCCACTTTGATTTGCTGGCAGTGTGCACTCAGTCTGAGTTTAGAGCCATAGGTCAGCAAACCCTGGCCAGGTGCCACAGTTCTTGGTGCTGGGCTGGGGAAGGGCAGGGAGAACAGAAAAGTTTCACAAACGGCAGCTTCTAAGATGCTGGATGTCAGTCTGGATGTTCAGTCTGGATGTCAGCCAGTTCTCCATCAGTCTGCATGTAAAATCCTGTTTGTCCTGGCATTGAACTGCTGCTTTTTCTTATTGCAGAAAGCTATTCTGGATCTACCAAAATGAAAGTGCTGAGTACTCAGCTTAGAAATGGTGAGTGGGAGATAGTAACAGCCTGTGTTTTTCACCTGTGGAAGAAGAAGAAGTTCTATCAAAGCCGAACGAGCCCCTTTTTGGTTTGTAATGTTTTCCCAAAATATTCACCTGCTTCTGATATTGCAGGAGAAACAACAAACTCATGCTTGGGGCAGGGAGTGTGGTAGGTCAGAAAGTGCCACGGTAACATGTCCATGGATCTGGGGTAGCTGTCCTGGTGGTTGCTGCTAACCTGTTCCAGGAAGCAGAGATCACACTGGGACTGGGACTCTTGCATGGCTGATGGTGATATCCATGTCTGAATCTGTGCCAGTATGGACGTAAAAGAAGAAACAGCTGTTAAGCGCAAGCGCAGGCTTCTTGGAAGAGCAGCTGGGTGAAACAGGTTGGAAAAAGCTTCAAGGGTTGTTTATGTGGACTGACCATCCTGCTGCTTAATTCATAGATAAGGCAAAGTTATTCGGGTTACTTACTCTGGGCAGTCCTTGCATAAAGAAACCAAAGCCTCCAAGTGTCCCCTCTTTCAGCAGAATTCAGCTCCTGAAAGGCAGACAACATATCCACACCCCAAAGTCAGAGATATGATGTGCAGGCACAACCAGAGACTGGCTGTCCTCAGCAAAGGAAGAATCATCAGTTTGGAGACAAACAAGCACAGTTCAACACGGGGAATTCCACTCTTTTCACACCTGTAGCTGAGGTATGAAAGATCTGTATGTGGGGGCATGAACACCTGCATAGCTAGTGGTTTTCCAGGTCTGTTTCCTCACAAGGAATTTGGAATCAGTGAATTGCGGTAGGTTGAACCCAGTCGATCTTTAGGCTTCATCAACTGCACACCACATAGCAAACTGCTACAGCACTTTGGGAGGGAAATGCCTCTGCCTCCCACCTCAGAGTGCTCTGCAGCAGAAAAAAGTGTTTCCATTAGCCTGAGGGCATTTTGAGGGGCAGCTAAGATTTGGATGATTATTTGTAAGCATATTTCTGAAGGAGAAAAACAAAAGCAGAATGAATGGTAGAAATGTTATTCATGAAAGAATTTGTTTCCTAGGCTGTGCTCTCTGTAGGCCATGAAATGGGAAGCACTGGGAGACTGGGAGCATGGGAGACTTCTGCTGCACCTAGGGTGGACATCATCTGTTTGTCACTTTCTTACTTTTTCTTGCTCTTCCTTGATGTGTAAACAAACATTGACTACTGGAAATGATGGTGAGAGCTGGAGAGAAGCTTTCTGCCTCTTCAATGCCCCTTTCTCATAGAAAAAAATTATATGGAATTAAATTCCAAACAGATAATGCAAAAATACTGTAGAAAACTTGCTAAATGTTCATTCTGGCAATTCCTGTGAGCATTTCCATCATTTAATAGGTGTATGGCTCTGTTACACAAAAGTTTTTGATGCTGCGTGAAGGTTTCCAGTGCCCTTGACACTTCAGATAGGATATTTGTGCAACTGCTACTTGCTTCCTCTTCTGGGAGACGAACATCACAGCCTGCCCATATTCCCCAAGAGGCTTCGTTTACTGATGAGCACTGATACTATAACAGATGAAGTCAGCAAAACTCTGAAGTTATGTCTTCAATCAAATATAAGTACCTCCTGCCTTTGCAGATGCAAACTCTGGGGTTTTCTACCTCTTTCTAGTACTGCCAGTGCTCTCTGCCCCTGCACAGGTGAGAGGCACTACATAAGAATCTTAGACAAAGCTTGGCTTCTCAGCCTTCTTAACCTTAGTATGTGTTTAATGCTATTAATGGTAACATCCTTCTTAAATATTTAATGCAGTTCCTGGAGGCTTTTCTTTTCTGATTTCATTCCTCTTTACCCAGCTGTCCCTCCAGTGACTGGAAGCAAACACTCCCCAGCAAGCAAATCTTGCCCCTGTGCCATTGCCCCTTAGATGCCAGCACAGCACTTCCTCTGCAGCCTATGTACCCCATCCAATGCCAAAACAGCCCTTGCAGCTGACTGCCACACAGTCCAGAAAAAAGTCTCTTACAAATTCAACCTGGAGCTGGAAGGCAAGGCAGACTTCCTCTGGCTGTTCTCTCCTCTGCAATGAAGACAGGAATATTGGCCAGCATTTCCAGTGGAGCTGCGTAAGCCAAGACATGTACTAAGCACAGGCTGCATCTTCCAGCCTAACTTAAACAAAACACAGCCTTACCTCATCTTAGTCACAGAAGCCAGCAGCAGCTCTCTTTCCTCAAGTGCTTCACTGCTTTTAAGCTTGAATTTCTTTCCCTGAACTTGGAGTTTTTCAGTAGCAAATCTAGAGGTTTCCTGTATTTTACAAAAGCATTCCCCAACAATTACGACTTCCAACAAGCTATCTGTTTACATAAAGAATGTGTTTTCTTTTTCTTATTACCTTGACTAACAGCAGGTCCCTGGTCTATGTATTGCTCATGGCTGGTGAATTTTAATCCACTTTTCCATTTTCAGAGGGTTATTTTCTCTCTGCTGCATTTCCTTCAGTGTCTAATGTGCAGTAAAAATTAATATTTGAATATGAACTAAGCTACAGCATCTATGATTTCTGACTGGGGTTGAGATGATGTAAAGCCTGCACATTCCTATTCCAGATGCCTCTTCACCTGATGTTGAGGTCTATTAAATATACAGACATCTGGTCAAAAAAGAGTTGGGACAGGGAACCCTTCTACTAGACAATTAAATGATGGGTCCAAAATAGGTACTGTTTAACTGTGTGCATTAATAGCTTAACCTACACTATCTGATTCCATTTACTGTTTGATTGCATTGAAACTCAGGACTTCAGTTTGCCCTCTCTGAAAGTTATTATACTATCTGGAGTTCATTTCTTGGTATTTATGATAAAGGTTCCTAGAAGAAATTATCTCTAGGCAGAATAACACTTTTATTGAGGTCAGAAAGGGGCAGGTTATATAAAAGATGCATAGATGTTCAGTGGAATTTTCAGAATTACATTAATATTTACCTAAGATTGAAACCTATGTCTAGAGGTTTTTCAAATCCCATAAAGAACTAAATAATTGTAAAAGCTGCCTGATGTAACACACATGCATTTTTACATTCTGATTCTGAAACGGAAAGTTAGCAATCAAAACCACAATTCCAGTCCATGCCTACAAATTCCAAATAACTTCCTCAGCTTCAAATTACACTGTCCAAAGCAGAGCAGAGTTAAGCCTGAAATCGGTTTTCACAAATGTTGATCAAGAGACGTTAAAATGAATTAAAGATACCAGAGGCAGGTCCTCATGTTAAGGAAAAAAAAGAAGAAAAATCTATATTTTATATATAAAGTATTAATGAATAAAATTTTTTATCATTTCTTGGCATGTTTTGTTTTGTTTTTTGGTATGGTTTGGGTTGGGGTTTTTTCCAGTGGCTGGAAATAGTTTATGCAACCTCTACTTCTAAGCACTCTCCTTCCTAAAGGGATGGAGTGAGGAAGGAAAAAAAAATAAGTTAGGAGCATTCAGGCTTCTCAAAAGTCATGAGGAGATTGTTGAATGTCCTGTTGAAATTGCAGTCAGACACACTTTTATCTGTGAAAAAATACTTTCAGATTATCTTTGGTTTATGTTTGCTCCTGTTACAAAGGTACACCTTGAAATGATATTTGGCTTCAATGGCAATGGCATGAGACCATCAGCATAAATTAATAGGGCTGAAGTAAGAAAATCTGAAGAGTTCTTACAAATATCAAAAGTTTACATCAGAAGTAGGAGACAAAAAGATTTTTGCCTAATCAGAAAATGAGTATCAACAAAGTAGAATTAATCAAGAAACCCATTAGCCAAAATATCTCTGCTAGAAAACAGAACTAATGTCTCCAAAAGTCCCTAAAAGTCTACCATGAGAGCAGAGCACTCAGTGAAGCAGGCTACTGCTGAACCTTTAAGAGAAAAAACCTCTAAAAAGTCTAGTAGTACAAATGATAGCCAGGGAGAAGTATCTATTTGATCAGACATGGAAGAAGAGATGGCTGTAGGAGCATGAGTATTCCTTGTCATCTCAAAAGAGTTCCTTCTCCAGAAAAGCTAGTGCTACCAATGAAAACATTGGGAATGCCTCAGCAATGTAACATAAATTAATCTGGAAGATCACTCACAGGGATTGTTGTTGTCTCCCGGCATCACTGAAAGCACCTGGAAAACCTCAGCTGACTGAATGGAAATGCACATTAATTTCTTTGGAGTTCTGAGGGGAGATCCCACGTTCTTGAAGCACCAATCCGGTTCGTTGAGAGATGGTGACAACATTACTGGACACAGATTGCCAGGACTCTGCAGAACTTCCAAGGAAATCTTCTCTCCCTCAAAGACTAAAAACAGAAGACAGAGATTAAAAAATCCTCAACTCTATTCCCCCAGATGAAAAAATCTTCAATTTAAACATGTATAAATGTATATGTTAATACTTTTTTCTTTTTTTTTTAAATCAAAAATCTTCTGTTTATTTACTTACTCTGCTTGTTCTAACATTATGTTTATATCTACCGAATGCAAAAATCTGAACAAGTTATTTTGGATATCTAGTCCTTAAACAACTTAGGCTGAGTGATAAGGAACTGTAATTCTATAAATTTCTGGCAAGCAATTTTTTTATTTACTGTTCACTATTTGTATCAGGCTTAGGGGTCACAGTTAAAAGAGCTCTGTTGTAAGGTATTCCAGTGGAGATGAATGTTTGATCTGAAGTGAGGTTTACGAACAGCTATTCATCAGTGTAGGGTGAAAGAAGGAGACAGAAAAAAACACAGAATGTTTACAGACCTGGTTCTCTACTGTTACTGTCTTGAGTTCAGTACAGTTCATCCTTACTGATATCAGAGAAAGGACCAGATGCAGAGAAAAATCAGTGGAAGAGCTCGTGTGGATTTGTCTTTGTATCAAGTACTAATGTCTTCAGAATTGTGCCCTGTCTTTTTTGCCTAAGGTTCATGTCAGTCTGAGAAAGAATCCAGGTGTTACTGCAATGTTTTCTGTAAATCAAAGGCTCTCTATACCAATAGATGCATCCATGCTTTTTGGGGTGTAGATCAAGCCCAGGAGCTGCCAGCTCTGCTATCTTAGTTGTCAGTCACTGTTTTTGTCATGCAAAGCAAACAGAAAGTTTAAAGCATCTTTAACAAAGGCCAATATAAAAAGGAAACCCTTTTTTCTATAATCTGTTGCATTGGGGCAGCATACTCTGAAATTTTCTTGCGACACAGATTTTTCATTCCTGTATGCTAAAAGCATTTGGCAGTACTAAATCCTGTTTTTCAGGGAGGGCTGTGTTATACCTACAGCTGCACCTGAGTAGAAATGGCAGGCATTTTTAAAATCCTTGAAAATCAAATGTGCATAAGGAATGCAGAGTTAAGTGACTGAAGGCAGAAAGTTTTCTAGTTACATTTTACATTCTCCCCTTTTACAGTACTGTTGAATTATTTTGTTCATAATGAGATTCCTATCAAAAAAGCTGATATTTCCATGACCAGTGTGCAGTCACATAATTTCTGAGGCAATTTTACCTGTATCTTACAACAATCTACTGGAAACAATAGTGGGCCCTGTCACAATGGGTGGTTGTTAGTTGCCGTGGGTGTTTGGCATTGATGGGTTCTTTGTTGGCAACCATTCTAACCCAATTATGTTTCTAAAGTAGGACTGAAAAGCGTTGTAGGGAGCACCATGTAAATGGCACTAAATGCACTGAGACTGAGCGACCTCCCAGAAAGACAGACAGGTGCCAGCTAAAGCCCCATATGATTGATTTTCCATGGCTAAAATGGCAACCACAGACATCTGGGTTTGCCCCACTTAAAACGACAGCAGCAAATGCGAGCTGTTGTCTTGGAACAGCAAGGCCACTTAGAATGACATAAAAATATGGTATTTGACTATCAATAGGGGATCTTTTGCTTTTCTGTGAGTAAACCTTTATACTTCCAGCACCAGGAAATGAGTTTTCAGTCCTGAGAAAAGCACAGTGTGTGTCTGTGTGTGTGTACACACATGTGCATGTGACAGAGTTTAGTACTAGGGCTTGTTTTAAAGTAGACCTGGCATTTAAGTCAGAGATTTTTCTTAGATGTAGGTATAGCTAAAAAAATGGTCCAAAGCCAGCATAAAGAAAACTAACCATTCAATTGAGTGGTATCACATGGGTTGGAAAAAGCCTTGCAGCTCCAAGACTGGTGGAAGAGGGAGAGAGTCAGCTGAGCATCTTATGACGTTTGCACTAGCCAGCAACACTAATATGCTTTCTAAATCATCCTGCAATAGAAAGCGCAGCGTTTCAATTCTTTGCTGTTGCAGGCACATAATACCACTAATACCAAGACTTAAGTCCCAAGGCAGGTGCCCATCTTCCCGTTTCCTTGCCACTAAGAAGATCCAAATCTTTTGCTCTGTCAAATTACTTTGTATTCCTCAGAGTGTTACTCAGGACTCGCAGCAGGCTCTGATGTGATACATGGGTCAATCCAATGAGCAGTTTCAGAGGCAAAAGTTAACAAACTGTGTAGAAGTTCATGTGTCCTTTGTCCATGGCCGCTTCCTATTCAGATTCTTTTTTTTTTTTGGGGGGGGGGGAGGGGTATTCAGTTTGCAAAACTATGCAACGAAGGACAGTGTGTATGTTGATTTATGCAGGTGTTTTTTCTAAAGAATAGAGTTTAGTAATCTCTTTGTTAGAACTCCACAAGAGACTGAAGCACAGAAAGTGAACTTCAGGATCCAAAAGCAAAGATGTTATTGCTACAACTTACTGTTACAGCAACCAATATTAGTTCTTTGTGTAGTGTTTATGTCCTATCATCAGAAGCTCAAATACAATCCAGGAATTACTGGATCAGTGATGTATTATCATGCAAGTCAATTCACAAACACGAATTCCCTTTGTTCTTCAACACTATCTTACTTTTCTCTGCAAATCCTCCAAATGGGTAGATATTTACTCAACTTTAAGAGCAGGAACTGCAGGGAGGAGCAGTCCTAAATGTGCCACCTACCAGCTCTGAGCTAAAAGTGGCTTGAACGCAGCAGCACAGGCTGATTGACCTCTTAGTGCCACCTCTGGCTGCCCGAGGCTGTATCTAAACCATTACCTGTACTTGGGCTGGTGACCCCCGAGCAGCTTTGTGCCTGACAGTGCTCTCGCTGTGCGGACCTTTTTTCTTCTCCTGGCTCTGATGCTAATTGGACAGTCCTCCTTACAGCACGTTTTCCCGCAAGGCCTTTGAGCAACCAGTCAGTGTGACCTGGCTATAATTTTTCATACAGCCCAGAGTGGACAGCAGCAACAGACCTGGCGTCTCCTCCGACATTCTCGGCAAGGGCAAACTCACAGTGAGATCAGCACAGCCGTGTCAGCGCTGCCTCGGCGGTGACATGGCTCCGGGCCGCCCGTCCCGGGGGACTGACTCTAACGGAGCAGCGCCCGCGGTTCTCCTTCGCGTCCTCCCCCGGGGGCCGCCACGCCGCGGGCTCTCATTGGCCGCTTTTCTCTGTGCCCGTTCGCCGTAGCCCAATCCGAGAGCGCGGTGGAGCGGGAAGCGGACGAGGATTGGCTGGTCGCGGCGGCGGGCGGGGTGATTGCCGGGCCCGCGCGGGCGGGCGGGCGGGCGAACGGAAGCGCCGCTCTGAGGGGGCGGCGGTGAGGGGACCGGCCGGGCCGAGGGGCGAGAGCGCCTGGACCGGCCGGGTCGAGGGGGTGGCGGTTTCGGTGCCAGCCAGGCTGAGGGCGCGATGCGGGGCGGTCGCCATCTCTTTCCGCTGGTGCTCCTGGCGCTGCTGCGCGGGCTGTGCCACGGCAGGGAGCCGTCGCCGGGCGCCGTGACCTGCGGCTCGGTGCTGAAGCTGCTCAACACTCGCCACAGCGTGCGGCTCCACTCGCATGAAGTCAAGTATGGCTCCGGTGAGCAGGGCCGGGCCGGGGGTGTCGGGAGCTGGGAGGTGTTGGGGGCACAGGCTGTGAGGGGGCCGGGAAAATGGCGGGGGGCAAGGAGGTGTCTGTGAGGGGGGCAAGGAAGTGTTTGTTGGGGGGCAAGGAGGTGCGGGAGACAGGCAGTGCCCGGCAGGGGGTTGGCAGGGAAATTGCGAGGGGTGGGCAGTGAGGGTATCAGGGAAGGAGAAGGAGGTGAGAGCTTCCAGAGGTTCATGTCCTTGGCACAGGGGGAAGCAGCAGGCCAGGGCTGGGGTGTTGGGGTGCGCTGGAGACCTGTCAGGGACAGCAGGATGACGAGGCCCGGGGTGTGGGACGTGTCAGCTGCGCTGTGTGTGCCCTGCAGTCGGAATGTGACAGGGGTGCTTTGCCCCCATCCCTGAGGGGAGCCCTGCTCTGTGTCAAGGGCCTCAGCAGTACCTTGAAGTGTCTATTTAGGCAACAAGGGTGCTGGTCTGTTTGGGGACACAAAGAACTTGGTATTTTTTTGAGAAAGGCGGGATGGTGTGAATAGTGTCCACGAATCACATTTTCTTCTCGTGTGTTCGCCATGAACTTTGACAGTTTGCATCTGCTAACACATGGTGTGTTCGACTTCCTCAGTCTGAAAGATTATTTGGTACCTGCATTCCCTTTGCAGTCGGTAAATGGACTATGAGAATTAAACATTTCTTGAACGTGAAGGTGTGAGAACATTAAAAAAAATTTCTTTAGTTCTTTCAGGACTTTTTGAACTGGGGAAGCAGGTTAAGTCTCCTGTCATTTAATTCTACTCCAACAGGAAGTGGGCAGCAGTCAGTGACAGGAGTTGAAGCTTCAGACGATGCCAACAGTTACTGGCGGATCCGTGGGAAGAGTGATGGCAGTTGCCAGCGTGGTACACCGGTGAAATGTGGGCAAGCAATACGACTGACCCACGTTAACACAGGGAAAAACCTGCACACTCATCACTTCCCATCACCACTGTCCAATAACCAAGTGAGTTGTAAATCTTTACGTTTTTTATGAATAGTGCAATGTATTGACAACAGTCTCTCCAGTTCCTCATGTTTTTGGAGAACCAGCCTTGGGTGCCAGCTGCCAGCAGCAGTATGTCTGTGCGTATCCAAAGTTTGAGTACATGTTTTTCTTCATCTTGAAATAATGTATATCAGTTCTTCAGGTGAAATTTAATATGTACCAATATTGGTATTTCGCAGTAGTTTTAACAAATCTGGTTTTTTTCTTTTTTTTTTTTTTTTTTTTTTTTTTTTTTTTTTTTTTTTTTTAAATTCTGCACCATTGCTGCTGGCATTGTTCTGAAATGTTTAATGGGCACCTCCCTCAACACAGTGAAGATTGCTTGAGAGCAAGGCAGCTAATCATATATTATAACACTAGGCATTCCTGTATCCAAGTTCCTTGGTGATCCAATCTAGTAGTCTCAGCCATCTTCTTGCTAGCCCTATTTCGGTTCGCTATTCTTATTTATCTGTCCTCCTTCCACAGGAAAATTGAATCTACTCTCATAATCGTATTTATTTATAATTTTGTACATATCTAGAAGAGTGTAATTTCTGTCATTAAGTCCCGTCCTGTCCTTGAACAAATGCTTCTCCAAGGTTCAAAATCTCTCTTAAAATAAATAATGCAAGCTTGTCGTAAGTTTGTCATTGTTAGTCACTTCAGTCTTCCATCAGGCTTTGTAGATAGGTCACCACATTGAAAATTGGAAGACCTGAGTCTTTGTGAAAAAGGTTTATCTTTCACCGTGAGTAAAGTGGCTAAAACAATAAGGTCCAGCTTTGTGTAGGGTGTCTAGATAATCTCATTATTAAAAGAAGTGATGGAAAAATAGCATTTCAGAAGAATTCTTTAAAGAAAAGATTGAATCTAAAACCTTCCCCTAATTTTCCTTTGTCATTGTAGACACTTTGTATAACATTGTCAGTAATGTAAAAACGTTCAGCAACTGTCATTGTGTTTCTTTTTTTTTATATATGTGTTTGCACAACGTCTGAGTGAAAGGAAAGCTTGCCTGAGTCCCTCAGAGATTTATAGGACTGTGACTTGTTATTGATCATTGAGGTTATTGACATATGATGCAGTTATAAATGCAAACTTTTATTTCATATTCTTTACAGAAGTTGGATTTTCAATTAGTGCATTATCTTTCACACTTTTGGGGCTACATAAACTTGAATTAACATGACCCTAAAATTTTAGGTTGCTGGGTACAAACTGTTGCCATTCTATTTTCAAGTTGTTCATCACTTCTAGTTCTCAGAGTTTTTAAGAATTAAAGGCTGTTTAGAGTCTCAAACAGTTGGAACTTAGTCTGTCTGGTTTCTGTAAATGCTTGGTTTTGTTTTTATATGGTGCATGATGAAATCTAATCTCTCACTTTTGTTTTAGCAGCAATTCATTTGTCTTAATCATTGTCTTTATTTATTTTAAAGAGCTATGTAGCAGTCTATCTGAAGAAAGAGTTGGGTCACCTTAATAGTTGGTGACCGAACTGTAAGCTTGGTATAATTAAGTATAAAGGGAATCTGATACTTAATGAGCTAAATTGTTGGGTTGTTGTGATAAAAACACATACTGAGAAAGCTGTTGCAATGGTAACTATGAAGACAGTCATACTACAAAGCTAAATGTCTACAGTTACAAACTTAATTTTGTGGGGAGAAAATTTGTATCAGCATTAGAGTTGTTTCTTTTGAATTTTTTTTCTCAGGAGGATTATTCTGGTCTCTCTGTGCTAAATCCTCTTTTATTTCATTTGTATGTTAGGATTCGTTGGCACTTTTTGCTCAGATTACACGGTGAAGTTTGTTGGCAATTCGTGATCAGATTGTAATGGTAGAAACTTCTGCTTCTGGATTTGATAACTGTTGGCAAAGCAAAGCAACAGCACTTTTTCTTTCCCCATCCTTGTCTTTAAACTCTGCTGACTTTGTGGTTGGTATTTGTGTGTATTGGAGGTGTCTGCTTACATTTTCACTCCAGGGAGTTTGTGTCTCTAACAGGAAGTAAGTGCCTTTGGTGATGATGGCGAAGGAGATGACCTGGATATCTGGATTGTGCAGTGCAGTGGGACTTACTGGGAGCGGGATGACGCCGTGCGCTTCAAGCACGTGGGGACCGAGGTGTTCCTGTCGATAACAGGAGAACAGTACGGCCACCCCATTAGAGGCCAGCGGGAAGTCCATGGCATGCCTGCTGCTAATCATCACAACTATTGGAAAGCAATGGAGGGAGTCTTCATCAAACCCAGTATGGACCCTGCAAAACATGATGAGCTCTGAATTGACAGAGGATCCAAAAAGCTTTAGCTGACTCCAGAGTTCAGAGATGCTAATCCTTGGTCTCTTCTAAGTCCCGTCTTGCCCGGGTGACTGACTTTTTGTGTTACTGAAGGGCATTAGTTCATTCTAGAAATGCAGCACTTCTGTGGGGAATGGCTTCTGCCAGATTCAGCCACTGACATTTATTTAGTGAAATCCTTTCTGAATTTTCAAGCTTATTGGTGGAACTAGTTCATACATCTGTTAGTTTTTGTTGTTGTTTGTTTGCTTGTTACTTTTTCTCAAATTCGAAGGAAATGGAAAAATAGAAGCAATACATTTCTGTAGTCCCAAGTACAATAGAACTTTGTATTTTGTAATCTTTTTCCAACTATAATTAAATATTTGGAAACCGATTTCCGCTTCTTAGTGAAAGAATGTCATTGACAAGGAGATGGATTGAGTCTAGAAAGGGAAAAATGGTTCTCAAAATGGTGTTTTTTGAATGGCTTGAAGTCAGTTATCAAGCCTTTGAGTAAATGAAAGTATCCATTTGAAAATAGCTTCCAATGTGCTTCCTGAGTTTCGTTCTGTACTGTATTGGAAGAGTTGAAAATATTGTGTATGTTGGAACAAGAAGACAAAATTTTAATATATTTATTTGTCCAAGAAGTTCAGATGATCTGGTAATGGTGGTACTGCTAATTGTCTGTTGGTAAGGCTGATCTGCTCTATGAACTGGTGCAGAAAGCTGCTTGTCTGATTAATATTAGAATTTTATAAAATTCCTTATGCTGCGAAGGAACAGTTGAGTTTGGCTTATGTTGTACTTCAGTGTCACTCTGGAAGATCAGTATGAGAATTCAGATGAATAAATAGTGTGGCATATACTCATGTGGGGATTTTTGTGTGTGAATCCAGAAGAGCAAAAAGAATCTTAGACAATAGTTTGGTCCTGGATTTTTGACAGAATGGTGTGTGGTGGAGTGCTAGCAGGGAATCTTCATTGGACAAATTAAGAATTTCTGTGTTCCTCTCGCTCTGTGAAAAGAGAAATTAATTCTTGAATGTGTTTGTTACACAGTGTTACTGGAAATACCGATTAAAATTCAAAATACCATACATTTGCTCTTTGCTTTAAACAGAAAAGCTCACCAAATGAGTGAGAAAAGTCGGAAAACTCAGGTGTCCTTGTTTCCATGTGTAAATAGTTTACTGATTATAGTGCTCATTAGTCAATCAGTTAAAGAAGCAGGAAAGTGATTTACTGCTTTTACAGCCCCAGTCACGTGCTGCAGCATTAAGGGTTGTGTTGAGAAGGTGCACCAAGCGGTTGCAGTTCAGCTTTAGAAATACAACAGCTACTCTGTAGGTCCTGCTCTGTTGTACCTTGTGCAGGTGTTGGCCAGGCCAGCTCCAGGTTTTATTTAAGGGTTTCCTACCAAGGAAGATTCTTTGTACCCTATGGAACAAAGCACCCGGTCACAGTTGCTCTGTGTAGCTCGTTATTTTTCTTCAAAGAAGAAGGTAAGAATGTTTTTCTATTAATTTTAGTTGAACGTGGGTATTTAAGGATTGCAGGTGTTTTGGAGGTTAAGTAGGCTGGATTTTGGTGATTTGTAATAGAAGTAAACTTTTATGTGATTAATGTTTCAGGTTCACTGATATTCCTGACTAATTGATATTGGAGTTGTAGCTATAAAGGATAACTGTTTAAAAACAAACCAAACCTTCTGCATAAACAAGCTGACTTTTCCTTTCCTTTATTAAAAAGGAGGGCTTTTTCTTTTGAAGATGGTATATAAGTAAGAACAAAAAGAGTGAGAGTATTTGACAGGAGGAAAAAATAATTTGGGCAATGAGTTCTCTGTCACCAAGAGCTAAAATGCTTTATGCCTAAACCATATGGGCTTAGTGTTTGTGCACCTGTGGAATACAGTTGGCTGAGAAAGGGACAGAGCTGTGGGGCTCATCTCAGTCTGTGTGTCAGGTGCTATCCCTACCCAATGTTTCTCTGTGCCTGGATGTTTGTCCGAAGCAAAGGTATTTATCAATCTTATTTATTATGCTTGAGTGGGATTTCCCTGGACCTTTGTCTTTCTGTTCTGGATTTGAGCCGAATTGGTTTAGTGAGACTGAGAAAAAAAAATAATTTTAGTCCTTATTGCTTACTTTCTGATATGATCTCAATTTTGAAAAATATTTGTACCTTTTGTTCCTAAAGAACCAAACTTCCCCACACATATGTATCTATTAATGCCTTATTTAAAGACATATTCAACAATATTCCTGTGAACTGAGTTTCCTCCACTTCTTATTATGACCAAAGTGTAAAAGAACTTGACCTTAATGTTTTGCTTGAGTATGTGTCACAATCGTTGGCTTTTTTTTCTAGTTGGTTAGGTTTTTTTCTGGATTTTTATCACTATAAAAATGAAGGACTCTTAAATAAGGCCAGTTTAAGTACATCTTACTTTGGAAAGGTCTAATATAGGACTTCAAGAACCATTGGTACTCCCAGCATGCTAAATGCTGGCTAGGAAGAAAGGTCATGTTAATGTAGGAAGTGCTAAAGTTATAGCTGTGAAAAACGATGGCTCTTGCTCATGTGCAAGTACTGAGATCCGGAGTGTGGTTCAGGTGTTTTTATTTACTTCAGCTGTTTACAGTTCAACTTTTCAGTCCTTCCACCACAGATGAGCTCTAGAGATATGGAGAATCTCCATTTTTATATTGCTGGGTGGTGTTGTTTGTTTTCCATGTGATTTTATCATCTGCCCAAGGATGTTGGAGCTCTAGAATAAAGCATGAAATACTGAGAGATGTAGCTATAAAACTCGGGATTGCTGTTTTGCTTATTTGTTTTCCTTTATTTTAAGGTGATAAATTTTATAATATCTCCTGTCAAAATCCTCTGTATGCTTCAATGTTAAGTGAAAGCTGTTTATTTTGATTTCTGATGCTAGCAAATAATTCTTTTAAATAACAAATGCTTCCAGATTTCTTGCTTACTACTACAAGAAGTCTTTGAAAAGGTGCACTGATGTTGTTACTCTTCCTTTAGTAAACTAGAAAGACTTTTGGGGAAAGAATTAGGGGAATCTGTATTTATAGTTGTTCTTAGTGGGAATAGTTGCTAAAGACTATCTACTCTGAACTGTGTTGAAGACAATCTCTCGAATACTGCATTTTACACATGTATATATCTAGTTCAATGTAAAAATGACAAAGTTCCTTAGATGTGCTAATTTTGGAGGCAAGTATGTGTCTACAAACATTTTTACTCTTATTTCTGGAAGGTTTTTAAAACTTTCTATAACAGCTAAGCGTATGAACACTTGCTATGTGTTTTGGCTTCTCAGTGTGAATGAGGACTGGGTTTAGTTCTTCAAAAGTGCTGGAAGGGATGTACAGCTCATTGATTCTGAATGTTGAGCCTAAATATAAACCAATGTTTTAATTTAATTTGTTTGGGAATACTAATTGAGTATATCTGCTCTTAATAAGTTAAATTAGCATATCTTTTTAGGAAGAAAAAAATCTACTATTGAAACAACCCTGTAACAGTGATGCTTACTCAGCCGTGTTTTTAAGCCTGTGAGTTTTACTGAATCTTCTTTCTCTTCTGCCTCTCTTCTCCAGCACTGAAGCAGTAGCTGGCACTGTAGATGCGCCATGTTTCACACCTGTACTAGACAGAGGCTGAACCTTATCAGGAACTTCTTTCCAGCAGCAACATCTTTCCAGCAGCAACGTGTCTGAATCCCTGCTTGACATTCTTGGTGCCTCTTTGTTAAATTTCCTGCTGGCAGAGAATTTGTATGTAGGGTGCCTGATGCTGCTGTCTCTCTTTCCTAGTTCTGAGTTTTCATCTGTGTCCTTTTGGTTTTGCAATTCTCTCTTGAAACACATTTTCCTGTAATACAGCTCTGGGCCACTGTTCAAATATGTTTGATCATTAATTGCTTCATAACGTGGCTTGTTTCATCAGTTGCCTTTCAGGAACCCATGTTTTTGGAGATACAAGGCAGCACTTGTGGTTCTGTCATTAAGCTTTGTTAGGAAACAACTACAACAAAAAAGTTACCCTTAAACAGGAATACTTGGAGCTAAGGAAGTGCTTTCCTCTTGATTGTGTTTGATTCTACCCTGGGGGAGAGGAAGCACAGGGGGTGGTTTGCTTCCTCAAGGAGGAATAAAATGGCGAACCTTACCAACCTGGAGTTGCATAGGAAACACAAGGCAATTCAAACTTGGGGGACGTAGCATTTATTATGTATGCAAATCACAAACAGTAATAAACTTTAAGGTCCTAAGGTTTTTTAAATGCTTAGAGGAATAAATATTTTATACTTTTTCCCCTCCTCCCACTGCCATTCTAAGCATCTTAGTGCTCCCATGTTTATAAATACTTTAGCGGGACCTGGAGTATTTGTATCTAATAGTTTCTTTTTACTCTAAAGATGGAACAGCAGGGTTAGCTCCTTTTCTTCTGTTTCCTGAATCAAGCTTGCAGTAATTGGAGTAATGTGTGGGAATTATTTGAGATGGTCAACCAATTCCTCTGAGGACAGTACTGAATTATTTTGGGTGTGTATGAGACAAGGAGGGAATGTAGTGACCACCTTGAAAAGTAGACTTTATTTGCTGCATCATTCAATGCTTCTTTCTCTTTAAATTGCATCAAATTAAACTGATTATAAAAACCTTCTTGCTATATTTGGTATTGTGCTAATTCTAAATTAGCATAAAGTTCCCAGTGAAATCCTCCTCTGATGCTGATTCAAGCCACTGTTCTGTGAGGGATTCGGCTGTCTTCAGTCCTTTGGGAAAATGGTGTCCTGCTTCATTAGGATAAGAAGCGTTAGGAGCTGTATGACATCTCAAGGGTACCAAACCCTTAAAAAACATTAGAAAATAATCAGAATACATGCAAGCTGCAAAGCTGACTGATTAGTTCCTATGTGCTTTTTTAAACTATAAAAATAATGTGCGGGTGCTGGCATTGCATGTCTGGAGGACTGTTGAGCTGTGACTGGGATCTAAGGCTCTTTGCTTGATCTCTGTGATGGTTATGTATTTATCCACCTAAGCTTCATTTTCTGAGACTGCTGATTAGTAATATAAGTGTGTGCTGTACTGAATGTCGAAGTATCTCAAACCACAGCTAAACATAAGATGCAATAGGTACCCAGTGTTGTTATTTTTCTTCTGCTGATGCCTTGTCGGCCCCATCTCTGCCAGCCCGGCTGCTGCAGGCTGGAAGGGTCGGGCTGACTGCAGCCCCCTGCCCGCGGCTCCCTGGACTGGCCAGTGACTACTCTGTCCTGCCTAGGGAACAGTCCTGTGGATGAGCTGTATGAAAACTTGTGTGGGGTATATGCGAGCAGGGCCGTTCTGAGGAGAAAGGGGCGGGCGCGTCTTTCCCCTTATCCCCATCTGGAAGCGGGGAGCGGGCCGGGAGCGGCGGCCGCTAGTGAGCGCTGCTCCTCCGCCTGCTGCTCCCGAGCGCTGCCGGCTCCCCGGGAGTCGAGCGCCTTTGGCAGCCCGGCGGTGTTTCAGCTGCGCAGCTTTGATCGCTGCGGATTTATACTCTTCAGGGGGAAACAAATAACATCCGCTTCCTCCGCGTTACACTGCTAAGGCGATCTGCTGCTGCAAGACCTCCCGTGCGGCCGTGCCTCGCGTTAGGTGCGCTCTGCCAAGTCATGTACTGCTCGGTTATTCGAAAGGGAAGTTTAAAACAGTAGCGTAGGCTCTGAAGCGGCGCTTCAGGCGTTTCTATTTCCTGTTTTTCTTTAGGATCGATAAAGTGAGGCCAAGGTTGAAGTCTATTTGCTTATAGTACACATCTAAGGCAATTACCTGTATTGTAAAATTAAATACCGGTTTCTGCTCGGTGGGGGAAGGAAAGGCACAAAAGAGTGGTTAAACAGGGAGCTCACCTCCTCCCGTCATCTACAACAAAACTCATTGCATCTTGCAAGATCTCGACAGCAAAAGCGAAAACTGAACGATCTGTTCCTGGCCAGAATACGTTGCTCGTCAGTGGTAACACTTACATGAACGGCTCTTGTCCTTAGTGTGACTCACCTGGCTCTCCTCGGCTCTTCCTGGACCACTTCCCCTGGAGCGGATCCTGTGCCACCCGCCGAGGCTTCCCTTTGGCATGAGGAGCTGCCATCTCTTACCGACGCGGTATCGGTTTGCGAGCCGCTGAGAGGCTTCTCCCTGCCATCCTGCGGGGATGCAGCTCCCACTGGCTGCGTGGGTCGCCCACGTTGCGCTACGCCAGCCGTCCTCGGTGGGGGCAGGGGGCTGGCGAGTCCAGCTCCCCTTCCTGTCGGCGCCGTTATTGCCGAGGGTTTTGTTCATGTGCCAAAAAAACAGAGATTCTTTTTCTGCAGATCTCCCTGGCAGTGCAATTTTGGTTTCTCACCATCCACTGCCTGCTGATATTCCTTCATGTCTAGCGGAAAGATGCTCTCGCACAGGAACCTTCTGCGATCCCGGGTACCAGTATTTGCGTGCCAGCCGCTGCTAACGGCGATCCTTGGGTGATGTCAAGAGGCTTCCTCCAAGACCCTCATTCCCGTAGCGAATCTGTCCTCACAGTTCTCTGCCCCTTCCCCACCCCTCTCGTCTCCGCCGCAGCGGGGCGTGGAGGGAGCGGGGAGGTCCCACCGCATGTGCCGGCCCCGTGGCCAGCCGGAGCCCCCGGCTGCGAGCAGAGCACGGCCCCCGGCAGAAGCCCTGGGCGCTGCGCAGCACGTCTCCCGTGGGAAGCTCCTCGTGGGCGCGGCGATGTTTTGCCGCAGGGCCGAAGACGAAGGATGGGGCTACGCTGGGCAGCGCCGTCGCCCTGTGCCCGGTGGGCTGGCGGAGAGCGGGGGTCCCTCCCCGGTTCCTCCTCTGCCTTCATCCGACTTCCTCTGGCCGAGCGGCAGGTTTAAAGCCCAGTAGCTCAAGAGTCCGAAAGGCTGCAAACGGGATCGTTGTGCCTCCTCGGGCCGAGAAAACACAGCAGCGAGTCAGTACCTGCCCGGGTGTGGGAACCGAGAGGCGCACGAGCACTCCCGGACGCCCTGAGTGCTTGTCCTGCATCCAGGACGTCCAGAGGGCTCCGTGCTTATGGATATTCTAACCGTGCTGCTGCACTGTGAGAGAAACACGCTTTAATGCAACTCCAGCAGTTCCCATCCTACTACAAACCGATCTAGCTCGGTAACTGGCTTCAGTGGGCACACGGAGTGTCATAAAAGAATTGCATAGGCTCTCCTTTAATCACCGGTCTACTCCGCTTGTGTCCTTCCGTCTTGTTCAAAGCGGGAAGGGTCATGATTCGTGCCAGCAAAATCTTACGCTGTGCTTGTGACTCCACAGCAAAAAAAAAAAAAAAAAAAAAAAGCTCTTGTAGCATTAAACCTGTGTGGCTAAAACAGACCTCGAGAAGTGCGGAATGCAAGGCTTCTCCTGAAATTGCACCCAAGGGAGCACCATCTACTCTCTCTTGCAAATATTATACTTTTGAACGCATTACCTCTGCTTTCACGGGGTGCGGGTGTGCAGATGATTACTGTCGAGCTGCAGGCAATTTTCTATAAAGCTGCACAGCAAAACACGTTTGTGTTGTGCTATGTTTCCTCAGCAAATACAAACCCATGGTGATGGGAGTGGCTCTCGGTCAGGTTCGGAGACTTCAGTCTCTAAGACTGAAATAGCTTAAAATGTTAAAATATTTGTCTTTCTATATGGCCGCTGTTTTCCCTTATGAGATGGGAGTCTGTTTATTGTGAGTGATTAACTGAAATCTTGCAAAAAAGTCCCAGCAGCCTCGGAGCCCCTCCTCCCCCCCCCATCTTGGCTCTGGGGGGGTAAAGAGCTTCGTGACACCCCTTAGGAAGTCTGCCTTTCCCAAGACTAAAGCCGGGCGCTGGAGGACAGGAGGGATGCTGCTCTTCAAGGGGCAGAGAGGGGCGACCGGACCGGCCGCAACAGATTTGCTCTTTAAGGTGTAAATTCTCAGCTGGGAGAGCACAACTTCATTCGTTCCTACTCCGAAAGCTAGAGGTTGTTGTGGCTTTTGGAAGTGGCAGCTGGAGTTGAAGGGACACCCTCCTCCAGGAGAGTAGTGATGGGTAGTAGAGAAAAAGCCTGAAAACCCTCCAAAGAGTGGAAGTTTGACAGTGCGGCTTTTACGGTTTCCTCCCCAGTGCCACCCGAAAGTCCTGCCAGGGAGCGAGCGACCCCCGCAGATCCTGTTGTGCCGTGACAGGAAGGTGGGGTCTCGAATGTGGGGAACACCAGAACAAAGTGAATATGCCTGTCAGTGACGGAGAACGAAGGCTTCCGAGCCCGGCGTTCCCCAGCGAGGCAGGGGCTTCGGGGGGCAGGGCGCAGGCGTGGAGGGGACGTACAGTGAGAGCCGGCCGGGGAGGGTGGTTCAGCATCCTCAGCGCTAACCTGCTGCCGAGGCAGCCCCTGCTCTGCCCCACAGCACGCCCCTGGCTAGGACCCCGCGGCGGAGCTCCGACAGCGGAGGTACTGCCGGCTGCGTGCCACGGCACTGTCCCCACTGGGGAGGGGACGCTGCGCTGGGAAGGCTGGTGTGGGACGCTACATTAAAAGGTGCTCTGAAGGGGAAATAATAATAATGCAGAATGTCTCTTTTATTTCCAACCTACTTTCTGCGTTCTTCTCCATAGGAAAGTTACCCTAGATTGTTCTTGCCAGAAAACCACCTTGAAACTAGATGATAGTTTCTTATATTTGGTGCCGATTAGAGACTGAAGGAAAATGATTATCTGTTGTTCACTCTGAGACGCTATGGTTCATACTGAAAGAATGCCTTAAGACTTAACCTTAAAATAAAATTCCATCCTCATGAAGTGTTATTTGAGGTCAAAGAGACCTTTTGGTAGGAATAGGTGGACCTGTGCTTAAGGTGCTGGACTAGCACTTACGACCAGCCCTCAGTGCACAGCTGCAGAACTGAGTGATCCCAAAAACGTGTCGGTGCTTCTTTGTCCCATATGGGACATAGGTTTTCTTTGCCCTTCTCTGCTGGGACCGGCAGGCGTGATTTTTTCGTCAGCCTCCCAACGGAGGGGAAGACGGTGGGGTGGCTTCGAGCACACCTTCCCCGACGGAAAGGGAGCCTCCCTCTGCATCTCTCTGCCCCCGTGGGGGAAGCTCCATGGGCTTTCCCTTTGGACAGAGCCTACGAACAAAGCGGCGGGGCTGACTGTTAGCGAGGTCCTCTCAAGAGCCACAAGCCAGAGACGCTTCGGAAACCCCAAGCAACCCGTTTGCAGAGGCCGGTTTCACTGGGCGGCAGCTGTCGGACTCGACCGACTGCGCTGCACTGGCCTTTGCCTAGTACCGAAAATGAGCCCGCGGCACTGAATCTCTTCCTTCACGGGTGCAGGGTGCACCTCCCCGACGCACGGGTGCTCGCCGTGCGGTCGGGGCAGCGGGCGCGGAGCGGAGCCCGGGAGAGCCTCCCCCTGGCACCACCGACCCGGCGACCGCTCCGCAGCCGGAGGGGGAGGCAGGCTCTTGACTTCACTCTTGACTGTAGTGCCAAGAGCCATTCATTCAGCTAGTCGAGACTTTAAAGAAGACCCCTTACCCCACTGCCTCCTTAATACAAGGTGCAAATGGAAAACAGTTCGGCTTCACTTTTTCCCATTTAAATATTATTCTGATTCCCCCGCTCCTGATGAAAATCACTCCTGCCTTTTTTTTTTTTTTTTTTTTTTTTTTTTTTTTTTTTTTTTTTTTTTTTTTTTTTTTTTTTTTTTTTTTTGTGTGTGTGTGTGTGTGTCTGTGTATGTGGGAGAGAGAAATTTTTGGAGGGGATTTGTGGTTGTTGGTTTGTTAGGTTTTTTTCTTGTAAACATTTAGCTTGCAGTAGGGATGTCTGCGTGTAGACAGTGAAACAAGGGGAAGAACTGAGGATCGATTCTGACCAGAGAATTTGGCCAGAGATTCAACCAGGGAACACCAAAATGACTCTTTCACTTGCTCCAAACACTGCTATAAATGCTCGAAGTGAATCACTTGGTGTTTGGGGATAGACAGTGAGGAATCCTTAGCTTTGCTCATACTTGGTGTCTGTAACAGCTGGCACATGATGGTGACCTCCATACTTCCCTAGGGCTGGTGAGAGATCCCCTTTTCCTTCAGAACATGAAATCTTTAATTTTCTGCTTCTCCCAGAGCACAGCTTCCCTTTTGTTTGAATTTTTCAAAATAATGTAGAGATGTATTAAAGGTATATCTGCTGTAAAAGAAAAACCAAGCAACTGAATTTTCTACTGGAAAGCTGTGTGAACCCAGAGTGCCATCACTCCAAACTTGTTCTGAAATATGACAGAGATTCACAATGGGGGAACAAACCAGTTTGTTTCTAGCACTATGTGAAGGTGGCTTTCGTACTCAGTGTAACTGCCTATCGATTTTAATTGGGTAAACTGCTCACATAGATGTAGTGACTCCTGGCAAAGATGTTACTTCTTAGCAGACTGGTATTTGAGGGAAGCAGAGGTCTGCTATTTGTTGTAGTAGTAGCAGGGCGACTCTTTAAAATATCTGACTTATTACACCCATAAAAAATGATACATTTGAGTTTGCACTGTGCACAGCGGCTTATCCTTGTCATCTGATTCCTCTGTATCTCAGGAGGTTTAAAAGACAAGGGCTCACCCACCTTCCAGGTGAATGAGTAAGCAGGAGTTTTACAGGGTCTGTGTTGGATGCTGAGCCCAGGCAGCGTACCCAGTTCCATGCAGTGCTGCAAAGGTTATTTTGGTTTGCCCCAAGGAACTTCCATTCTCAATTAGCTGCCCACCCACTGTTCTGCCAGTTCCTTATGGAAGAGATCTCTGCCCATGAAGCTTCTGGTGACAACACACTAAAGAGAAGAGCATGGTTTTAAAGCTCTGATGCTCTGAGGCTTTTTTTCCCCCTCTGTTCACCTCTGAGCAGAGAGGGATGGGTCCTTTGCAAGAATGCAGGGCTGCTAGATCCAGGCTTTGCCTGGGGAAGCTTTCCATTCCCAGGAAGGGTTTAGCTGAAGTTTCAGAAGTTGTGTACAGATTGAGCCAGGCTTCAGCTGAAAAGCTGGGTAGATAATGCCATTGTCAAGCCTCCAGTGGAGCAATTTGGCCACCTGCTACTCCCTTTGGAGTGTTTACTGGAGGGTGTTTACTGGAGGGCTTTTCAGGAAGGGAATATACTTTCAGGTACTGTATCTGAACAGCGTCCTCTAGAGGAGTTAACAGGGTATACCTTTTCCCTAATCAATTGCAGCTAGGATTTAGATTTTTTATATGCTTCATCCTCTTTCTTAGCACTTATTTCACTGTAATTGCCAAAACATGTCCTGTCCACTCTGTGCTGAGGTGAATTCTGAGGACTGGATGTATAGTAGTGGCAGGATATAGCCCTAAAAACCAGCAGCTTGTGCTTCCTGCAGGGAAGTGGCTGTCTATGACAGCCCTTGTAGAGGCAACGTACACCCTCTGCTGCAGTAGAGCGAGTGGAGCACTGATCAGCAGGTCTAGGGAAAGAATTCTACTGTGCCTTGGTTTTCAGTAAATATACTATGAGATACCTAGTGGTATTATGTCTAATCATAGCCTCAAAGCTGTGGTTGCATTTGTTTTGATCACTTTAAAACAAATCTCACAGATATATTTAGTAGAAGAATGTGTAAAGCCCCAACCCCCAAATGGTATTATGTAACGAATACAGTATTTAAGTGCCCCCTGTGTAAACTAAGTGAAAAGCCTGCTATTTGCTTTCTTTGCCTCTGTTGTGTATTGGTCAACCAAAGCTGGGTGCTCTGTTTGCTGTTCTGATTAGTATTTTAAAAGGAAAGATCCATAGGATCATGTTATCCAGACATTGAAAAAGACTTAAACCCCACTCACTAGGCTTAAGAGAGTGGTCTGGGGCTGAGAGCCCTCTCGTGGGCTGCCCAGGGGTGTCTATTGCCAGGGGAGCTTGTGCCATTTGAAGGCACACACAATCGAGGATAACAGCCCTGCTCAATGTACTTTGTCCCTTTATTTTGGCATGTGTGGTGCAGCCATTCCCAGTGGCCTCTGCAGTCTCAGCCATAGGGTTCAGCTGAGTTCAGCAAAGATGAAGGTGTGTTAGTGTAGGGTCAAGGAGATGGTGGGAGCTAGTGGGCCAACTGGGAACATGTTGCTGCTGTTATATCTAGAGCTGATATCAAGTGGAAATGAGAGGTGGATATCCTCTTGCTTTGAACCAAGAGAAGTTCATAGGCTTTCCCCCTAATTTACCGTTATTGATCTGCCATCAGCTCCTTGCCCAGTTAAATCCTTTATTCAAGGTGCTAGATCTTAGGAGCACAGTGGTTTCCCATTATTGTTATAATCTTTTGCCAAAGAGAGATTCCCCCTTCTCAGTAATGCACCAAAGTGGAAGTAATCACTCTTTTTTCTTCTTGCATTTGTCCTTTCCTGTTTCATTCACCGATTGAAAAATGGCTAAGAGCAGCCCCCATTTCAACCTCCCCTTTTCCCTGATTGACTCAGCAGCTCCTGGGATAGAGAGAGGAAAGGGGCCTCGAGGTCACAACCTTCACAATCTTCAAAGCCCCTGCCGCTTCCAGCAGCTGTCACAGCTCTCACTGACCATATCCCCAGAAGGTCAGCAAAAAAATAAACACTGGGGCCCGATAGGTCCCCTTCTCATGCAAACTGGCCATTTCCCTCCCCAGCTCCCATTCCATGCATAGATTACACATAGGAGACCCCCTTGGATTTGCACAGAGCTATGCAAGAGCAAAATGCTACAGAAAATAAAAGCAGAAGGTCTTCCTGGGCAGGCAGGGTGGGAAAAAGAAAAGCAGCTTCCTGAGCTCTCCATGCCCACCCACAGGCTGCTGCAGCCATTTTGTGTGCGCAAAGCCTGAAGGTGAAGCTGGGGAGGGGGCTGACTTTTCCCTGGGAGAAAGACTGCAGGGAAGGATTCAGCTTTTGTATCAGCTTGTGCATGTGAGGGACGGAAGAAAGAGAGAACCCAAAAGAAATAGGAAATGAAGCATAAACTGTTAAAGCCTTTTCATCAGGATTAGATTGCATCCCTCTCCTACAGCCAGCCTGCTTTCTGCACTCACCTCTGCAAAAAGTCATGATGAAGCAGAAACAGTGCCAGAGAGAAGCACAGGTTCAAAAGGCCAGAGCGGAAAGGTCCTTTGCTAAAGGAAATACCCCTCCCCAGCCCTGTTTTACAGAAGTATCCATTTCACCATGGCCACTAATAATCAAAGGGCTATTTCCTGGCCTTCTCAGCACAGCTCCCAGATGCAAAACGCTATTATCATCTCCATTATTGCAAACCCTTCCCCTCCCGCCCCACACTTGCTTCCCTACCCGTGCTCCCCCGTTGCTGAACCCCGCACTAGGGCACGACTCAAGCCCGTTTTTCAGGCTCCACAGTGAAGGAAGATGCTCGTTTCCTATTCGCATTTTAGGTCTCTCCCCACAAAGACCAAACGGGTGAAAAGCACACCGAACCACAGCGCAAAAACCCGTCGAGGGGATTTTTATCTGCGAGGGGCTGCCAGGGAGGCAGGAGGGGCTGCCGACCTGCAAGAAGCCCCTCTAGGAAGAAAAGTAGCAACAGGGGACTTGGGGTCACTTTATTTATTTGGTGTTGGCCGGGTACAGCAGAGGGGCTGCCCCAGGCAGCGCGGCCGGAGCAGGCGGGGCGGGAAGCGGCGGCGGTCGCGGGCCCGGGGCGAGCGGTGCGCGGAGCCGCTCACCTTGCCCTGTCCCTGCGCGCACACTCACCGCCGCTGCGTGTTGAAACAAAGGAAGTTGCACAACCAAAGTCCGTCCGTCAGAGTGGTATGTGTGTCCCCCATCCCCCTGTTAAGGTGGCTCTCGGGGGGGGGGGGGGGGGGGGGGGGACGTCCCGTCCCCGCATGCTGTCACCGGCTCGTCCCCGGCTCTCGCCGCTCCCCAGCGCACTGACGCCCTTTCATTATTGCACTGCTCGCTGCGACCGTGACAGTAGTGCAACAGGGAAAGAGGGGCAGCCCGCCCGGTGGTCCCAGCGCTGGCCCAGCAGCTGCAGTAGCCCCCGGCCTGCAGCCCGGCTGCCGGGCTGAGGGCACGAAGGGAGAGCCTGAGTGGGGTGGGGAGGTCCTAGCTTTGTCTCCGAGCTGGCCGCTTCTCACTGGAATGATGCTGGGGGGGCAGCCGGGGAGGGGGAGGAGGAGGGTTTAAACCGAGGGCAGCGGCAGGGTCAGCCGTACAATGGGGAGGCAGGGGGCACGGCCCCGCCGTATGGCTCGGGGCCCTCCCCCGCACACCCCCGGACCGGCAAGGCCAGCCCGGTCGCCGCGGGGAGACGCGCGGCAGCGGCCCCGCGGCGCCCGGGGACCTGGACGGAAAGCCCCGCGGCAGCGGCTGCTCCGCCGCGCCCTGATCCGGTCCTCAGTCCCCTCCCACCATCCCTTTCCCTGGGCCCCTGAGGTCCCGAAAGGGACCGGGGGGACCACCTGAAATGGAAGGCAGGGCCACCCACTCGGCCATCCCGGCTGCTGTCAGCCCCCAGCTGATCCTCACAAAGCGGAGAGGAGATTTAACACCCCCATCCCTGCTCCGTTCCCACGTACCTCAGAGAGCAGCTCTTGGGAAGGGCCGGAGGCAGCGCCCGGCCCCGCTGCGCCGCCCGACCCCGGAACAGCCCCCGCTGCGGGACCCGGCTGCGGAGCCCGGCGGGCCGCGCTCACCAGGCAGAAGCATGAGCTTTGTTTCGAGGAGGTTATTGGGATTAGAGCCTCGGCTTCTTTGTGCTGTGCTCTGCTTCGCATCGCACTCGTTTTCGGGCTGGGATCAGGCACGGAAACAGCAAGTATGGCAATGTATCTCCTCCCATCCCTTGGTGGGTGTTTACATCAGTATGTAATATAGGCACCCTTCAAATGTCTCGGGACTCATAGTATTTTAAAAAGGAGCCCTGATGGGTTTCTCTGGTTTCAATCACTGCTGATGTGTTTTAAACACGAGGCCGTTTTGAATCCTGTGTGGTAGCATCAGAAATATACCCATTACTCACAACCTGAGTCACCAGAATAGCACGATTATTTGTCACAAATAACATCTCTGCACAATTACTCGCCTATCTAACAACGCTCAGCATTTCACAACTTTTCCCTTAACTCGGTGGGCACATAGGATTAGTTTTTCCTGATGTGGCTTTCTTCTCTCCATGAAGAATAACCCTCAAAAGAAAAGACCCTATAAGCAATATTGCACTACTACCCTGATCACAAAAGCAGAGGCAATATTGATAGGGTCTCATCCTTAAGGTTAGGAAGCTGGATAATGTGTCTTGCGGCAGGTGACTGGAGGGAGCTTCATTCCATGCCTGCAAATGGGGAAGGGGTAAAAAGTTAGAAAGCTGTGCACTGCCCTATGGATGACAGCCCCATGTGCTCCTGAGAGAGTGAGGATGCAGGAACGGAGTAAATCTCTGACCCACAGAATCTGTGTATGGGTGCTATCCCTTTCTCCCAGGACATTTTTAGCTCCAGAACAGATTTTTTCCTCCATCCCCAGTTCTCACATTCTTCTGTGCAAATTTCTCTCCTTTATTAATAGCCTCAGTCAATTAGCTGCCTAGCTGTTAGAGGCTGGGAAGCGTTATTTATTTGATTAACTGATAGTTGTATTTTGAACCTCTTAGTAACAGGCGTCAAGCCTTCAGAGAACTTCCTTTCTAGGGCTTTCCTACTTGGAGAGCCCAGTGTTTTAAAATACCCCTCCCTTCACTGGAAATCACAGGATTAAGTACACACCAAAAATTAGAAAGTGAAACAGGATCTCCAGGGCTGGCTCTCCAGCACTGACTTCACATTTATGCACACAGATTAAACAGTGTTTGGAGACGCACACGTGTTTTGCCCTAGCTTGTTTTGTTTGGCTTTTTCTTCTCTTCCCCCTCCCCAGCACCTTTTCTGTCCTAGGCTGGAAGGCACAATCTTCAACTGCGGCTGGCTTAGTGCTGAACACACTAACAGCCACAGAAATGATCCCCAGGGAAGAGCTGAGATACCTCCGACTTCAGGGCTGCTTTGCCAGCTAGACTCTTCCTCTGCACTCTGGCTCCCAGTTAACCTGCCCCAGCACATTTGTCACATAGGAACACTTGAGAGTCCAGAGGAAGGAAGCTTCATTCCCAGGCCATCCCAAACCAGGTCATGATTTTGACACATTAAGCTTCTCTTTCCTCAGTCTGCTTTCCAGTGGATTAAATAAGAGTGTAATGGAGAGACAATCCCCTAATTCATGGATTCTTGGCTAATTTATCCATGCCACATTTATCTGGTCTTTGCCATTAGAGGTTCCTGGCTTTTAGCATGCTGGTGAGGCAGCCTTGCATCCCCTTTGATGTTGCCTGACATGCCAAAGAAAAAGGAGCTGGGCAAGCTCCATTCAATGTTTGGTTTTTTCTAATGCCTGATAAACAAAATCTCTAATCTGTTCCAATCCCTCCCTCTCCCCATCCTTCGTGATGCCTGGGGAAGAAAACAGGTATGTTTTTTCCACATTATTTGTATTAAATCTTTGCTCACACTAATTAGAAGGCTATATTCAGAGATTGCTGAAAGCAGCTCAGAATTGAGTTTTATCAAACTTCTGTGTTCTTGTTACCTTGGCAAAACCTCAGGTTTAATCCTGCCACTGCTTCCCGACAATCCCTGCAACCTAGACATCCAGTTGGACTGAGAACATTAAAAAAGATGCAACTAGGCTCAGCCTTACCTTTCCATCTATTCTCATCCGGTCTCTATTTTGTTTATTGTTTACCATGTCTTTTCCACTCTTCAGCCTCGATGTTATCTCAAACAAGACTTAGACTTATTACACACAATTTAACTTCTCCAATGGCCCAAGAGACAAACCCACTGGCAAGTTTACAGTGGAAACGCACAATCTGCACATCAAGCGATGTTACTAATGCATGGATAGTGGGGGGGGGAAGCACGATTTGATGACTTCCTCACAACTTAAGTACTTCAGTAGTTGCAGAAGCTACAACTGGCACGGGAGGGTAAGAGATGTAGTTGCAGAAGCTACAACTGGCACGGGAGGGTAAGAGATGTAATTAGAAACCTCAGCCTCAAGTTAAGTTCCAAGCAAAGGCAATTAAGTTACTTTATGCTTCTGGATCTGTGCTGAGAGCCTAGATGTGTCTCAAAAATGTCCTTATCTCTAAGTGGTGTATTGGCACAGGCCTCCCCACACCTTGCTTTTTTTTTTTTTTTTTAAACAAAACAGGAAAAATAAAAGACTGAATCAGCCTCCACTAGTATTCCAGTAATATTCCTCTGAGTTTGCAAATAATATGCAAAGCCTGGGTTGCACTATGTCCTATAGCAGGGAGACTTTCTGGAATGTATATGGGGGTTATTTTAAAATAAACGTTTAAACACGAGATTATGAAATGCATGCTATTTATACACCAGGAGGCTCAGCATCTCTAGATATGTTTAGAAACCTCTCTTGCCTTTAATCACAGTTAGAGAAACTAAATGGAAATGTCACCCAGACTGGTATGGAAATAGCATTTTATATGTTGCTCAATAATGGAAGCTTTTTATTTGGCAGTGCGTATGGGGAATCTTACTTTAGCGAGCCACTGCTATGTGTTTAAGTCCCCTTTTTCTGATGTTAGCAGACAAATAGACTGAAGTGTCCTTACAATGAAGCCTTGGGATAAATGAAGTAGTGAGCTGAGTCTCTGGAGCTGAGAGGCCTCTGGTCCTTGTGAGATCAGACCTTGCCTTCCCTGGTTTAGCTTAGGGAGCCATTTCCCCTTCCCTTTGTTGCTGTTTTGTTTGCTTGTTTCTTTTGTGGTTAAAGATGTCACTCGGGGCAAGCAGGTTTTTTAAATTTTCATCTCAGTTGCAATCTCACAAAACATAGAAGGGCACAAAGCTTTGTCCAGCCTTGCTTCCCTGGTCACTGCCAGTTCTCTAGCCTGAGGAAAGGAGACCATTTAAAAGCCATCTTGCAATTAAATACATTATATAGTCTACAATATATTTTCTGCAGTGGAATTGACACTATTACCAAAGGCCAGAGCAAACACTTTGGAAACAGCTGTAGGCTGAGAGTTGATTTAGAGTTTTCCATCCTATTTAATAATTTTATCATTGTTTTAAAACTGGGAAGTGTTGCCTTTTTAATTCCTTCTTTTTTTTTAAGAGAGAGAAAAAATTCTTAGCATTCCAGTCCTGGCTCCTTAAGTCTATCTAGCAAGTTTGTACAAATCTGTCCAGAGAAAAAGGGGATTCTTGCTTCCATGCAAGAGTCAACTTGTCCAGGTGTGAGAGACTTGAGAGAGTAAGGGTTGATAATCCTCTCTGAAAACATCACCTTTCCAAGTGCATTTCACCCACCATGCTCACAGATTCTGTCACCCACAGCCACTTACCAATACATTCCCCTTCTCCTGAAATCAGGAGGGATTACACTCCAGAATGTCCTGCCATTTGATTCTTGCTTATAATATTTAGTTTGTGGGTTTCAATAACCCTTTTCTCAGCAGCAGTATTTCCTCGGCTGGCAGAACCCAGACCTGCGTCAGTGAGCTCCATTAAAAGGAATGACAGAGCTCCTTAAACAGCCCAGACTTTGTAACCCCACAATACGGCTTTTCTGCATGGTGTTTACCAGTGCTCTGCTGTCTGATGGGAAAAAAAAAAAAAAAAAAGACGACTTATGGTTCTAAATGCAGGAGGAAAATAGGGCTAAATACTATCACCCTGGAAGTGCCGATCCCACTGCTGGCCCTGCGTGTACAGGGCAAGTGAAAGGCCTTGTAGTTTCCTTGCCTGGGGAAGAGCGTACGTGGGGCTAATCTTGGGGTCCCCCAAGTAACTCTTTCCCCCATGGCAAGGGACAGACTCCCCTCACCACACAGCCCACCTGCCCACAAAGCCCCCATCCCCAAGCCTGCAGGGGCAGAGGTTCTATTTCTAGCTGGGGCCCAGCCCAAGTGTGCACAGCCGGGCCAGTGGCACAACAGGAGGGGAAGCGGCACCTCCTGCCCCCGCCCGGCCACCTCCCTTCACCAAACCACCCAAGAGCGGCCAGAGCAGGAGCGACCTTAACAGAGATCTAGCACTCAATTCAATGACTCAAAAAGTCCCCCTGAAAAAAAAATCCCTCTGAAAACTTAAACCATCTGATTTCACTTTCCGCTCCAATTGGTTGTGTAGCCAGGGCACAGGTCTGGCCTCCTCCACTACACTAATACCCTATGTGTGCTGCCTCCACAGAGGAGGGGTTCTTTTAACAAGTTTATGCAACAACAGGATGGAAGCTCTGCCGGAGCCCTTCCCCCCGCAGCCCGACCTGATTCCCCGCATTCCTCCCGCGCCCTCCCCCCCCGACCCAACTGGAGACAAACTCTGGCATCTCCACACACATGCAAATGGTTTCCCTTGCACAAATACAGACTCCTGAAGGGGCCTTTGCTTCCGAATCCCCCCTCTTTTTTTTTTTTCTTTCCTCCACTGCTTTTTTTTTTCCCTGTTACATTCCTCAGCCATGCAGGGTTAAAAAAAAAAAAAGTGGGGAAGGGAGGGTTTGGAATGTGTAATCTCCATCCCAGGCCCAAATCTGCAGGGAACCTCGTCCTCTCCCCTCACACGCCTGGGGCCTGCCTTCCCAAGAGCTGGCACTCAGTGAAGAGCATTCGTGAGCTCCATAGCCCCAGCAGGAGCCAGGAGGCCTCAGAAGGTTGTCCCTTTCCCTCTGCAAATGGGATTTGGTCCTTGTCATGGCACAGGCCTTCCCTTGTATCACACGCCTCAAATTCCCCCCACGCCCAAGGGAGG